TGATCAGAGGCGGCCCCTCCTCATGATCTCCGTCCAAGTCGAATGAGAGCGCATCCACTTATCGCAGCCGAGATTTCGACGAGCTGACATAAGCCACTTAGATAAGTCATCCGAGGCTCGTGACCTTGGCCTCCTTGATCGATCTTGGACCCGACGGATAATCACATGATGCAGTCTTGGCACCTGTCGTCATGCCATACCTCCGTCAGCTTCCCTCAGCTTCCTTTGGTCCTGCTACCTCGTAAGCTTTAAACTTGCTTTTCTCCCTCTCTTCCAGTCATCTCTACACAAACCACCTACACACAATGCTTCGTAACGCTATCATCCGACCTGCCGCCACGGCCAACCGGGCTCTGCTGACCCGGTCCTTCTCCATTGCTGCGCCCCGAATGGGCGAAGGAGACACTGGCGCCCCTCGCTCCGGAGGCGTTGCTGCTGGGTTCGTAATCCCTCTTCTTACCCCTCCTCTGCATCGTGTACCAAGCTACAGTCAGCTTGTCTGTGCCCTAGTGGGTGCACGGTAGCTGTGCACGGCGTGTCTGCCTCGTGGTAGCTGTATGACATCATCAATTGCTGACATGGCATGAACAGTGACTCGTTCACCAAGCGCGAGGCTGCCCAGGAGGCTCTCTACATTCGTGAGAAGGAGCTTGAGAAGTACGCACGTCTAGTCCTCTTCCTGGTGGCCACTACTAACCCTGATTCGTACCAGGCTCGCCCAGCTTCGCAAGAAGATCAACGAGCAGCGCGCTCACCTCGACGAGCTCGATGACCACATGTACGTCTAAGCTAGTCCTGGTCTCGCGACTCGCACTTTCAAGAATATTCAAAGCTAACTTCCCTCTAGTGACAAGCTGACCAAGGATCATTCCGGCAGCAAGAACTAAATATACTGCATGCCAATTGCCCCCTGCCGTTGCTCATTTCCAGCGAAGAGTGCGCTCCTCCGATTGCCGTGTACCATACCATTATGATCTCTCCTCTGATTAGTCCACTCAACGATATTTGATTCGAGGCTCGGGAGTCGTCCGTGGATGATGCATTCGGCATGTTGTTAGATCAGACAGGCAGCCATAGCATACATACCTGGAGTTTCTCGATTCAAAATTTTCAAGATCTTGTGTCGGTTGTAGCAGAACGTTGTATCAATGGAAACATACCTTTTCTAACACAGCTTTAGAGAGAACGGCGTGCCATCCAATATTAATCTATGCGCTATTGGAATCGACTTAGGGCCAGCATATAGATTTGTGGGCCAGAAGTGCCTTAAGAGAAGTGTATAATTGAAGATACCAAGCCAAGAATCGCCAGCACGTCTGCAAAGATGAAATCTTCGAAATGACCTAGTGCGTATTGCGCGGTTGAGTCCTACGAAGCTCATCGTCGAGAAACAGTAAGTAGGAAGGGAAGTCGTTTGAGCATTCAGACACTAAGGGCCGTTCCAGAATTGCAATTATACATCTCTACTAACAAGGGAGACAATTCCCATGCGATATAAGAGGGTCCCATAGCTTTTTTTGAGGTCACGATAAAGTGTTAAAAGCATTCTTGAGTTCTAAAGATTCAGTCAGCGTATGCTAGACACAAGCCAAAAACACGAGCCATCGTACCCAAGAGAACAATGTATTATGGCGCCGGCACATATCTTCCCACGAACGTACTGTATTCGCATGAGTAGAAGCCGTGGTTTATGATTGGCATCAAGGGAAAGATACAGCCGGCGAGAGAGATAACATTCGTTGTATTCGGTAAATCCGCTGAGAGAAATTCGATGTGTAGGAGGAGAATCGGTATTGGAATGCGGTAATGACGCGGATCGAGACGGTCAAAATCAGCAAGTTCAGGTATCAAGAGGGAATAAGGACAGGCCGATGATCCTGTCAAGAGTGTGGTGGATGCAGGAAACAGCGTCGGCTTTAGTCTCGGTCACCTCCAGGGCTGCGACTGCGATTAGGACTGCGGCTGCGGCCCCGGGCGGCGGCACCACGAATGTTCTTCTGGTTTGGCCCCTTGCCCTTGTTTGATGGGGGAGGGCGGACAAAAGCGTAGTCGACGCTCAGAGTCTGTTCGAGGAGCTTGCTGCCATTCAGGTTCTTAATGGCTTCGGAGGCTTCGGGGAGGGTCGAGTACTCGATCAAGGCGTATCCCTAGCATTGAGAATTGTTAGAAACGAAAGATTCTCACACTATCACAGTTGACCCGGCAGCTCAAACCAGCAGCTCAACCCGGTAGTATAGATTGAACGACTGCTATTAAGACGGTCGCAAGGTTACAAGAGCCACGACATACCTTGACATAACCCGTCCGCCGGTCCAGGTTGAGACTGAAGTTCTTAATTTCGCCGTACTCCGCAAAGAGATCGGTGATATCCTCCTCTGAGGCTTCCTCGTGGATGTTCGAAACCATCACAATCCATCCTTCAATACTGCGCACTGCGACAGCGCCAGTCTGAGTTCGAGGCTCAACACCGCGGCCAGACTCCTCGGGGCCATCATCTTGGGCGACGGGTGGGTCGACTTCCATTTCGTTGGACATGTTGGCTGAGTGTGGGTAGATATAGAAATCCACTGGGGGTTTGAAGCGAATTGGCGCGTCGGTGGGGAGGAATGGAGGAAAGTGCGGACTGACGTCTGTGCAGGTGAACGCGGATTGGGAAAAGCTTTGGCCGTGGAAAGCCCCTTTCGGCTAGCGTAGCCCGCCTTTTGCTGGGCCGACAAGAACTATATCAAGGCGGGCCTGAGGTATTTCATTATTAGTTTGTTGGGATTGTTAATTTAAACATTCTTTGTAAGACTCATTTGCTGTAAGGTTGAGAGTAGGACTGTATATTTACCGTTATAGAAAACTTGGGGAAATAGTTTCAGAAGTATCATGGTTCTTAGTTTAGTAGAAAGTAAATCGGATGAGAAATTGATCTATCAAGGAATTTCTGCAACAGAGCCAGCCATGAGCAAGCTGCCTTCCACGGCTATTTTAAAAGTCTTCACGATTGTTCAAGCTCTGGAGAAAGGAAAAGGTCCCGAGCAAAACCTGTAGCTACGCCTCCTTAGGGACAATATTAAGCGGTTGGACAATGTCGAGGAGTGGCAAATGGCCGTCTACATTCTGCTCCCATATCATAAGATCAAGGTAAAGATAGGGTACCATTACGTGAAGTGCAGACCCGCAGGATATCGCGTGCCTTGAATGGGTGCAAATGTTGAGAGAGCTGGGCTTGAAGGTATCGGACCAGGTCATTGAGGGAGAGCGAACCACACACAGGAACGAGCCCGCAAAGCGACCATGGTACCTTCTCACCGTATCCCACCGCCCAGAGCTATTGATATAAAATTTTAAGATCGCTCGAAGCTCGAGGACCTGAGCGGACCGATGCTGTGAGGTCTCAGAGGATGGAGCATGAATTGACCCACATATTCAAGGGTCATGGCGCGAGGGCAGATACCTGGAGATGAACGAGAGCCATCTTCTGGATACCGAGTAAAACTTGAATTAGGGTGTTCGTGGTCAAAAGTGACAGCAAATAGCATTTAGTAGATTTCTCTAATTAGGAAGAAAGGGCTATGGAGTGGAGATTTATTCCCCAAATATTGTATGTGAGAGACAAAACTATGCGAATTGCCACCTCGTGTTCAGAAGCATGAGGATTTGGAATCAAATAAAAACAGGGTAGGACGGGTCGTTAAGAATACAGGGTCTGTGGTGAATCAAAAGAAGGAAAGGAGAATCAAATAAGATCACTTCCGTAGGGAAGGGAAATCTCACTTCCGATTGTTGCTCCGCATGCCGAGAATCTGGACCATACGGATGAAGATGTTGATGAAGTCGAGCTCGAGACTGACACTCTCGTTGACCACGTCACGCTTCATGTAGCCACGCTCAGCAAGGCGGGCGTGGTGCAGGATCTTCTGCACATCATAGAGGGTGAAGCCACCAAAGACAGCCAGACCACCGTACAGCCAGATGCGCTCAGACCACATCAGCGTGCGGGCAGCAGTGGCAGGAAGGACCATAGGGGCAAGACCAGAGAGAGCGACAATGGCAACACCAGCAAGGAGGGGACCACCGAGGTAAAGGTACTTCTCCTGCTTGGCGGTAGCACCAACGAAAGCAATGGAGCCCATCATACCGAGAGTGTAGAGACCGGCGCGAGCGAGGATGGCAGGGTGCATGAACATCAACGGAGAGAGGAGCGCAGCCTGGGTGATGTTGAACAAAGTCCAGCAGCCATACTTCAAGACGTAGCTATTAAGTCTGTTAGTATTGCCAAGTTCTGAGCGAGGAACCGTGGAGGTTGATCCAAATTACTTACTTATCCGGGGGAGTAGCAAAGGTGGCGTACATCGAGCCAATGCTGCCAACGAGACCAACACCCATGACCAACCACGGGTTCATGGCCATAAGACGGTAAGACCAGCCGCTGGTGTGCAGAGCGCGGGCAGCAACAGCGATTATACCAATACCAAGTCCAGTGTGCATGAAAGTCTCGTTCAGGAAGCTCCGCTCGTAAGCGGGCATGCCGCCATCCTCTCGGGTCTCACGGTTGAAGATGAAGTTCGTGGCCAGGATGGTACCACCGACGATGGCACCTCCATACAGCAGCTTCTGAGTGAAGTTGCCACCCTGGGTGTTGTAGGTCTGCTGCATGTAACTGCGGCGGAAGGCATTGTGGAAGGTCTGACGAGACTTGGTGAAGAAAGCGGGCTGGGCACCGAACGGCTTAGCAGCCTGAGAAGGCTTAAATGGAGAGTTGTGGATGAAGCGGGCAGTATTCGAAAGCTTTGGAGCTTGAGTGAGGGCCGATGACACGGCGAACGGGCGCCGAAGGAAGAAAGCCATGACGACGATGATGTCGAAGAAAGGAAAGAGATGGCGATGAAACGTTTATATGCGGGCGGCTGGACCGGTGATATCAGGGCGCTTACTCAGGACGGAAGTCGGCAGCTCTTAAGTCCGAATGTTCCAGAATAGCACGTGACTGGCGGGGTGAAGAAGCGCTGGGGACGACGAGCAGTTTCAAGATACGTCATGCTCTGATCGTGATCCTTTTCTTTATTTTTAACAATGGCGTTGAAGCTAGAGACGATCGGTATTCCCCACCTGCCAGATTCGCTGCCGGTTCATGTGGCGCTGTTTCGCAATGTCCAGAACTCGGCCTTTCTGCGACAGCAGCTGCTAGCCGGCAATGCAGAGTTTGAATACGCATTGATTGATGCAAGCCTGGTGAGAAAACATTAAATTTGTACGATACGTGTAGAGAAAAGAAAACGCTAAATAAGCAGTACAGGTGCTTTCCAGAGCGCACGCATTAGCAGCCATCTTTCGTGCAATGAATGACTACATGAATAATCGACTCAAATCCCACAATGTGCACTCGGAGATTGTGTTCTCATTCAACCCGACCAACAATGTATGGTGACTCTTATAGCTGCGCCACAATATATCGAAGATAACTAACTAGCTTAGATCGCTGAGTCCTTCCGCAAGCTCGGTATTGCCGACTCCACCAAGGACTTGTTGGTTGTTAAAGTCTCCGTGACTCCGGAGATAACCCATGACTCCGTTGCCGCCCATCTAGAAAGTTCCGTCGAAGGAACATCCGTGTCTTTTGACGACCTAACGTTGTCCGAAATCTCCGACATCAACAAGATCAAGAAGCTTTACAAACTCGGTGCCCTACCTTCTCCAACGGCCAAGTCGGATGCTAGCCAGCCTTACCCTGACGACGCCAAAAGACGATTGGAGCAGTCAATGCTGGGAGCCATTGCTCTCCGGGGATCATGATGAGATTAATAGAACCGATATACCGTCACGGCCTTGTTATTGACCAAAGCGACGTCAGAATAAAGGTATCATTGGCGGTGATGATTCGTCGTGCATCCTTTGACTTGTGTGGCCATGAGTCTTGCCGTCTATTGTCTCTCGCCCTCGAGTGACGTGTTACTTGGCCAGAACTTTTGTTGATATCGGCACATTTTGTGGATTATGGATGGCATCCCAGTGACAGCAATACCGCCCTGAGAGTACCCCATACAATGACTTGAGGGGTTCCATGTGACCAGATAGCGACCTGGGAAGAAGCAAAGCATGACAGGCCTCGAAGAAGCTTGGCCTTGCAAGATGGATCATGCTTTGTGATAGATAAATCACATAAAATAATGACATTATGAAATTCAATCAAGTCAGAACCGGACCATATGTTTTCCTCACAGAGTGGTGATCATAGTCCAAAAAAGAATTGCCTAGCTGATATGCTAGAATTGACAATATTAGATGCATTTCAAAAGATCGAGCTAACCAGGTCAATCCTAACCATAGTTACAGAACACCTAGTGGTTATCAATATCTTTCAGTGAAGAATTGCCTTCCAAAGGTGATATTATTGTGGTGGTTTGAAATCCTGCATGTGGTATGCGTTGCTGGGCCAGATTGTTTTCTACTGCCCAAAAGGGCAATCCGGCAACTTTGCCAAGGCCCGATCGTCATCTCTCCAAGTGGATCTTGTCGCAACCTCCCAGAATTATTCAACGCCCAAAGCACCGGCTCCTAGTCGTCAAAATCCAATCAGAAGTGATGGGATTACTTGCAGATGACAGGCTATGACGAAGTCTCGCCTGCAACACCACAAACACATCCACTCGGTAGCAAAACGCGCCGCTCGCCACCATGACGAGCTCTGCAGACGTGATTATTTTGTCATCGTCTCCGAGTACTTCACCGAGTGTTCCGACGAGACTCTCCAGCAACACCGCGACGACGACATCTTCTACCCCATCCCCGTCGGAACTGTTCCTACCCCCATCGCGCTCTCGGTTCTTCGACGTGCCCGTTAGGAAAGACGACGCGTCTAAGAAGCAACGGCCCACAACGACAAAGACCGGTCCTTCGGAGCCCAAAAAGAAGGTTGCTGCGAGCAAACCGCGACAGAAGGCGAAGAAGGTTACCAATGAGCCGACACACGACGTTATCGAAGACCTAGAGCCCGAATCCCTTGATTCCAGGAAAAACGTTGCGAAGAAGACCGCGGTGTCCCAGAAAGGTCGCTCAAAGACGGGAGCACATAAAAAGACCGGCAATTTAAAAATAGCTGGCAAGGTCACCAAAGCGAGCAAGAGTAACGACGCCCAAACGAAGCCTGCGAAGAAGGCTGGTCAGAAGGTGGCGACGGTGCGATCGACCCCTGTTGACTCAATAGAAGCCTCCGAACCGAATGCATCATCTAATTACGTGGGCAAAGATGAGGCCCTGCATCTGGACGAAGCTATGACAAGACGTCGGGACTGGACACCACCTAGAGAGACGTTCCCTAAGCCGGTCGACGAGATTGATAACGGGTTCATTCTTAACGAGAACCGTGAATTTAGCGTAAAAGGGGGATCTGGAATTCTCGCAGATTACAACTACTCCGCATCCAGTTCAGATGCACGAGAAATCAATGCAAATGAAGGAGGTCCAACAAAACGAAGGAGAATCGAGCTCGTGGACCCCCAATGCCAACCCCTGCGCAGCCGCAGTTCAAGAGAGGACACTATTGACAAAGGAGATACATCATCATCGTCTGGTCGACAGCCAAAACGGAAACCGAAAACCAAGAAGCGGTTTACCACCCTGACAGCTCGGATCACAGCTCAGTATACATCGAACAATGTCGAGGAGGATCTTTCGGCAGACGACATCACGCAATACACCATTAAATCAAAGCCTCGAGGAAGCAAGAACGAAACAACCGGCAAAACCCCGGAATTGATTGTGCTTTCTCCAGAGGCAGCTTTCAAGGCGTTGGACCAGCAGGATGTCGTCTTCGGTACTTGTAGCCAGCTGGAAAGAGACGATTCGCCGGAGACATTACGACAAATGCAGCGGGCTATTCGTGCATCAGAAACCTTGGCTTTTGGGGAGGGAGTTCTAGGCTTCTCGCCGGCCCTTGGGCAGACTTCAAGAAGCCAATCCGCATCAGGTTCCATTTCTCGATTCACTGGCGCCAGGGATTTGTGGAGCGTTGCTGGCCGAGACACCGGAGGTTCTTCGGTCCGCGCCGAAAATGTGGACAACATTGATTTGACGGAGGCATACTCTGTCGGCAAGAAGAATAATAATTCGTCTCAAAGAACCTCAAAATTAGATGTCTCTGATGATGAGTGGTTGGAACTTGACAATGAAAAGGCTGGTACTTCACGAGGTAAAGGTTTGCCATCCACGAACCCCTTGGAGCCACCAGCCGAACCCAATCCTCCAAGCGCTGTTTTGCTTGCACCGGCTGTGCAAGATGCGCAGCCGACAGCAATTAAAAGTCAGCAAACGACGGTGGCTTCGCAACAGGTCTCTATGCCACAGTATAGTGGGTTCACAGATGCGGAGCTTTCGAGGCAGGTCGCTGCATATGGTTTCAAGTCTGTAAAAGGACGGAAGAAGATGATCGACCTGCTTCAGAAGTGCTGGGAGTCCAAGCATGGCAAAGCTAGCCAACCTGTTGAAGTCTCTTCTGAACCCCAATCAGTATCACATGCTGCGGTCCCAACCGTCGCGCCTTCTCAAACCACATCGAGTCCCAAATCCAAGTCCAAGGGGAAGACGAAAGCTGAAAAGACTGCGCCTACGTCCACTTCCACATCAACGGAGGCTGCTACGCGAGCGGAGACTGTCGTGGTAACCAGCCCAAAAAGAAACCAGCAACCCTCAAAAGTCGGACGCCCCCCACCCTCTTCGTACATAGATATCGAAGAAATCCAAGACTCGGAGGACGAGGTCTTTCTGTCACCGAGCCAGGTACAAAAGCGCTATACCGAAATCTTCTCCAACGCCACGACTTCAGGCCAAGTCCGTCCTTTGGAAATCCTGACTAAAGACCGGCTGCAAACTCCCACCAAACCCAAGGCATCTGCCTCGAAGATACCAAGCATTCAACAACCATCGTCATCTGCCGCTGTCGCCAAGACGGATGAGCTACCAACCACCGAGCGCACTAGCTTGTTGGACATATCCATCCAGATCACCAAGGCGGTTCGTGCCCAGCCCCAGCTCTTGACCTCCGGCAGCCGGAGTCGGCCAACCTGGCACGAGAAGATACTCATGTACGATCCCATCGTTCTTGAAGACTTCACATCTTGGCTAAATGTCGAAGGGCTCGGTCTCGTTGGCGAGGATCGTGAGGTTGGTACGGCGACTGTGAGGGACTGGTGTGAGGGCAAGGGGATCTGTTGCTGCTGGAAGAAGAATGCAAGCTGGTGATGTTCAGCCCTTTTGCTCTGTTACTACTACTCTTCCGGGTTTGGCTCGTGTAATTTTATGAGTTGGAGATACCTGGGGTCTACGAAATACACGAAATTCCATGTGAAAACCGCACCAAGTTGCACAAGGCAGTAGATACTTCGCTTGTTATCCTTCACGAAGTGAAAAAGTGTACAGACAATGCCTCGAAAACTGGGCGCATCCCTATAACAAGCACAAATCAAAGATTTAGCTCTCCGATACAGTGATGATGAAGGAACAAAATAATTTAGCTAGATAACCTTGTTCCCTTTAGTAGCTGGCCTCGAGAAGACTGGTGGTAGCATATGAGGGGCCGATAGGAGACACAGGCGAGGTAGAGTGGGTTGAAAAAGGGTCGAGACCGTTGTAGGAATTGAAGTTCTCGGAAAGCTTGATACCACCAGCACAAGGAGATCTATGCCTATCCATGAAGCCAAAGAAAAAACCACCTTGATCGACCCAAAATTCACGGAAGGACGAAAACTCAAAAAGGGCACCAAGAGGGGGGTCTCGACCGGTAAAAGAGAGTTCAAGGACCTTGTATGACTGGCGTTTGAATTGTAGACCGTCAAGATCCAGCTGGGTCGAGAGTGGGGGGTTGTTGCCCAGACCTAAAGAATTCAATTGAGCTTCTTGTTGAACAATGGCACGTCCTTTTCAAACTTGTTAGCAAATTCTTCGAGACAAGTAGAACGGACAAGAGACGTACTTCAGTCAGACGAAGCAAATCTTCCTGCTCCTCAACTAATTTCTTAAGCGCGCGTTTATCTTCTCGATGCATTCGATTGCTTTGTCGCAGCTTTTCATTATCTTGTTGCAGAGAAACAACTTGCTGATATTGTACCTGCTGCTGATCTTGCAGACTGGCCATGGCTGCTAAGAAGTCAGGAGTAGGGATGGTATTCGTGGTTGGCAGGTCGGAACGTGGCTCAATCTCTCGTTTGAGATCGTTGTTTTCCTCCTGTAGAGCCGCAACGTGGGCCTTGAGTGCCTCAATTTCAGCGGCCATTCGACCGGCAGCACCACGAACGTAAGTCTCTCCAGTGACGCGATCCGTCACCTTGCAATCAAGCCCGGCGTCCAGACAACCGAGACAACCGGTAAGGCCTGGGTCGCACTTGAACCGCCGGATCTGTATAGCAATTACGTCGTTAGTGCATGTGCGGAATAAAATATGCCAACAAAGAGGTCTAAAGTATCGGTGCTGTAAAAAACGTACCTTGCACCGGTCACAGGCCTGTCCGGTTCGCTTGCGCTTCTTGTTCAGCTCGACCATCATCTCGGAGTAGTCTGGCTCAGGCGAGGTGCGGCTCCGGCGCCTTTTCTTCCCATCGAGCGGTTGCCCACCATCATCGCCAGTTGTATGCTCTGGTTTGGGGGTGCACTCGAGGTCATCGGCGGCCAAGGTTGAGGCTTCGGGGTATGTTGTAAGCTGGCCGTTATCTTGGTCCTCTTCGGCGACCTGAAACGAATTGGAGGAGGTTTCTTTCGGCGAGGTGGAGGCTGGGTCGAATGGTGAACTGCCTTGATGGGAGGCTTGAACATCGTCAAAAGCGATGAGATCGGTGAACAAGCTCACATCACCCTCGAATGGGTTAAGGTCCTCCATCTTTTCTTTGCGGTAAGGAACTAGAAAATGATGGCTAGATCAGAGATGTAACAATGTCAGCTCAGATGAATCTGATGACAGACAGAGGAAGGGGATCTTTCATCTGGCTCTGATGTTGATGGAGTTAGTGGCGGAGGAAGAGCTCAAGCTTACTGATGGATATGCCGTAGGGGTGTCGTAGGTGGGCGAGAGAAGAATTCCCTGGAAAACAGGGAGTTTATCAAAGGTAGAGAGGGAGAGGATGGGAGTGGATAAGGGGTCAAAAGAGTAAAAGAGGTAAACTAAGCTGCCAGTCCCCCGAGCAGCTAAAAGATATCACACAGCCAAGATACAAGCTAAAGCTGTTTCATAAGTCCAAGGCTAAGCGCAGATGTAGGACCAGGTCGAAGTTGCTTTTGAATGGCCCAAATATGAATATTCTTCCAGATTATCAAAAAGAGCGGGATAATTGGAAGAGAAGGATTGAGATAGCCATGGGAAGGAGAAGGAGGCACTTGAACGAGTGAGGATGTCTAATATTGCAAAATCAAGCTAAGCCTCGGAGTAATTATTCAATATCTCATTTATTTGCACAGACATGGATCGCAACATGAACATATTGCGTTAGAGAGTGTTGATACAGGCTATAAGAGACAGAGTTACGCCTATGATAGGTCGGACGGCGAGTCAAAGATTAAGATGATTTAAGTAAAATCACCTTGTAAGTTGTCCAGCTCAATCAAAACCTCTACTGATTGATTCCTTCTGGAGAGCCATGGATGCAGTGCAATCGAAACTCTCAATTATTTTCAAGAACTCAGCATAGAGCCAAGTGGGGTTCACCTCTCTAATGAAACGTTCGAAAGAACGAGCCGGCTTGCCCATTCGGAGACGATTGCAGGAAATAATGGTGGAAGATTTGTGAATGATACATTGAAAATTGATGACCACCTAATGTATGATACCACTTGCGCAACTGGCTAAATCAAACGATCGGTAAACTTGAATAGAAGATGAATGACTGAAGCAACAATGGTATGTTAGACAGAAGACATAAGATCCAACAGTGATGAAAAAGAATACAGACCAGGTTAGGTGAATAGCTAGGGGTGCTGCTCGTCCCTAAAGCGCGTGATTGAACTTGGTGTTGTAAAGGGGGAAGTCCTGTGATGTTTTCTTAGTATGGTGTTGTGGCCAGATGAAAGATTTCTGGGACATACATCTGTCAGTCTGAGAAGGGCTTCCTGTTCTTCAATCCGCTTCTGGAGTGTCTCGTTCTTTTCCTTGAGAACAGCAGCCCGTTTCTGCACCTGAGTATTCTCAATCTGAAGTTTGCTGATTTGCTGTTCTCGTAGTTTGGCTTGGTGCTGCTGCTGTTGTAAAAGAACAATAGACGGGTGTGTAGGATCTGTGGGAGCATTGGCAGATCCGAAGCCATAGCAGGGCTTTTTACGTTGGAGCTCATCGTTCTCACGCTCCAGATCAGCAATGCGGGCCTTCAGTCTGTCAACCTCGGCCGCCATTCGGCCAGCTGCGCCGCGGACATAGGTTTCTCCAGTGACACAGTCAGTCACTTTGCACATTAGGCCGCCGGCCCGGCAATTGAGACACCCATTGCGGCCTGGGTCACACTTGTATCGGCGCACCTACCGAAGAATAGAGCAGTCAGCGTATCTACGAGGCATTGTAGCGAGTAGGATATGCAATGAATAAAACATCAGTGGATCAACATACCCTGCACCGATCACAAGCCTGCCCAGTGCGTTTCCGCTTCTTGTTGAGTTCCAGGATTATCTGGGAGTAATCGGGTTCTGGCGAGTTGCGACTTCGACGTCGCTTCTTCTCGCGCGGCGGTTCCTTGCCAACATCCCCGTTGGTGCTCTCCAAGACCGGGGGATGCTTGATCTCATTCTGGAATAGATCAAAAATACCAGTTTGAGGTACGCATTTGGTATTCTGGGTGCTGTTCAGGTTCGTGGTAGTTAGGGATGTCTCTGGGTCGCGGTTCGGCGAGGCGCCGGACGATGGCGTTGTGGATGTTCTGATAGGCAGAGGGTTCTGATGAGCGTTCGCCAGTCCGTCAGAGTTGACTAGATCCGAGAAGAAGTCGGTATTGACCTCTGAGGATTCGTTGCGTTGGAAGCTCTCAGAGTCGAAACTAACTTCCCAGGGCATGGCTTCGTTGCCGCCACTATGGAATGGAATTCGATCACTCATTGCTTGTGGGTACGGAGAAGCTGGATGCAATCTAGTTGTGAGAGAAACCGATGTTAGCTCGCAGGGACTTGAGGAGTGCCATGGTAAGGGTCGTCCTCCTCGAAGATCGTGATGTCCGTTGAGATATCAGATATGGAAGGGCTCACAATTACCTAGACGTAGTGTGTTGTTGACAACTGGCTGGGAAGCGGAATGTTCCTCGGAAGATGGGAATTTTTGATGGAGGTCGAGAGGGTGAGGTTGGGGGTTGAGAGGGGAGAAGAGGGATATTATAACTTCCAACCAAGCAAACAAGACTTGATGAAGACAGGCAATTGCTCCCATATGTTGCTAGTGCGTTTCCATTCAGGAACATTCGTTGTATGCCTACTCAGCCATAGCCTGTCTTAACATAAATTTGTACCAAAACGGCCTCTTTCAAGGTCTTTTATTGCTATGCTTCTCAAGTAGCACATAGCCTTTCTGTAAGAGTACACGACAAAGACAGTAGGACTCGGAAATATTTGATGAACATACTACTTAGAATTCTTAGCATAGAGAGGCTCTTACATTGCTCAAGCTCTTGATATTGAGGCCTAGATAATAGCCATATGTGATAGCGCATGTTTCATCGGGGTCTTGTATACAAAGCCTTTCAGCCTTTCAACAATCCAGTCATTGTTATAGAATGCCTTGTTCAAGGATTGTATAAAGGGCGTAATGAACAAATGTAAAGGGAGAAAATTTGATTGATATATTATTTACAAAACGCTAGCCGGTAATAATAAGGCACAGAAAGTTCACTTCACAGTATTTGTTAGACATGGACATTTGAGCGAACAGCATCAAGATAATTAAAGTACAGTGACACCACGAACCAGCCAAAACCACAGAGACCAAACAGGATTATGAACGAGGGCAGAACATTATCTTGTAAGTAGATGATAAGAAATTAAGACGAAATTGGAGACGCAGACCATCAAAGATTATTCAGTATCGAAGCTCGCCACGCGAAAGGATGCTGTCAGTCTTCGAACTCCTGCCATGCTCGACCACCCTCGAGAACCAGAGAAATCTGTAAGCCCAAATCCTAAATCCAGAAACGAGTCAGAAGCCCAATCTATACGGGGCAAAGACAACAAAGAATGAAAGTAACCCTAAAAGCCCCCGAACTCCCACGTTATGAGAAGCAGTTAATGGTTGTTCGTCGGCGGTGAAGACAGATGAACTGAATGATGATGCGGGTAAGTTCGGGAGTAAAACTTGAAAATAGTAAGAAAATTGCATACAAGCTGTAGTCGATTATAGCAATTTGCATAGCCGTAAGGAAGATAGGTGCGACTGAAGTGTGCCACTGCCGTAGGCGTGTCATGGTAGGTTGAGAACTTAGGCCGTGGGGACCGATGATACGGGAGCTAATTGATATCAAAGACAATCAGCGACGGCGAGTGCTCGGATCACCTCATGTTCCGTCTATTGTGAGCCACAGTCTCAAACTCGATCCGTGGCTGGTACCGCATGGGCCCATTATCTTCAAACCATGACATCAGGTTTTTGCACTGGCTCACGTCAAAGGATTGTAGTTGATGGCAGCCCTCTGCGACAGCCTCGACACCAACTCCGGTAACACGGACACAGCCGCGCACTGATAGGTGCTTGAGAGACAGGAGGTGAAGACCGATGCTTCGCAGGGACGGATCAGAAATAGCCGAGCCACAGAATGACATGTTGAGGTATTGCAGTTGGGAGCATTGGAGAGCAAGGACTTCGGTTGCAGTATCAGAGAGAGCGCAGCAGAAGGACTATAGATCAATGATCAGTGGATGTGGGCATATTTTCTTGAAAGTTGATGAGCTTACCAGATCCAACTCTTGCAGGTGCTTGGCAGCATTTGTTAGATGGACAATAGCATTGTCAGTCAGATACGTGCAGTCCGCCAAACAGAGTCTGCGCAAGTTGGTGAATCGTGCATTGCCCCAATACTGAAACCCTTGGTCTGTGATGGTAGTGCAACGTGTCAAGTCCATCTCTTCAATGCGGTTAGCAGCATGAGAGGCAATGTGGTGCATTGACCGATCCGTGACATGTTTGCAGTAGGACAGGGTGAGCTTCTTCAGCTTGGGACAGCCATATACCGTGCCGTCGGCCGTTTTGAGAGTTGGCTTGATAGAGGCTGATTTCCCCTCAGGCTTCTGATTCCCGTGAACGACCCATCCAATGATCCGTGCCATGAGTGTGTCTCCCACTTTTCGGCAATTACTCAGCTCCACTTCTTCGAGACCGACAGCTTTGCTGGACATCTCAAGAATCGCGGAGGCCGTCACATCCCAGACACTCTTCATTCTCCACGTGGTCGACGTGGGCGCACAAGTATTTACGAGCGCATTGAAACCCTCGTCGGTGACATGGAAGCAGTTGTTGATGTTGACAGACCGAGGTCGATTACCGACAAATGGGCAGATGACCTTCACAAGCACGTCGTCCGTCACACAACGATTGTATATGCTGAGGTCCAAGTCACGGACGATCTCGTTTGATGTATTTAAGATCTCAGACCAATGAGAGGAGACGCCACGGAGTCGAAGAAGTTCGTGAAGCTCCATGAATTGGAATATGTTCAACAGTACGCTGTCAGGGAAGATACCGTGTTGGGCATCACCGAGTGGACGTGCTTTTTGGTGGGGTTTTGAAAGCCCAACTGTCTCAGGAAGGGCAAGATCAGACGAGGAGCCCACAGAACGAGATTCGGTGGGACTTGGACGTTGTTGCTCTCCAGTGATTTCTTCCGGAGTCAATGGCGCCAAAGAGCCGCGCCGGCTTCGAAGGCGGACCTTGTCCAACCCCAGGCTGAGGTAGGGGTCAGGATCTGAAGGTCTCAAGACGGCTTCCTCCTGATCCTCGACGGGCGAGGATTGATGCGGCCCGTCTAGCTCAGTCTCGGTCAATGTCAACAGGGGCATTGAGCGTCTTCGAGCAGCCGTTATCTTGATACGATCGTCCATATCAAGGTCACCCAGAGGAGACTGCTCGTCCGTTGCATCCGACATGATTACATCACCATCTGCGGCCGCTTGAAGTCTCTCTTGTGCAGTACGTTCAACTTGCTCGCGAACATCATGGGGACACATTTCCCAAAATTTCGACAGCACCTCCCCACTCAGCATGAGGCACTCAACCGACGTGACGGATCGAACAGTAGCGGTCCTACGCGGCGCCAGTGACAGACTAACCACTTCTCCAAAATATTGGCCTTGCCTCAGCCGGGCCTTGATCTCGACCTCCGGGCGATGAATGCCATTCTGTTGGCCGTGGTGCACATGACTGTGTCCGTGTTTTTCAGTGACGACTTCAACTTCGCCACGTACGATGAAATACAGTTCTCGGCCTTGAGAATCTTGCTTGATAATATCGGTGAATGGTGGGAAGGAGCTTGGCTGAGCGTTGAGTCCCAAGAAGTGGAGGATGTCGGCTGGCAACCCATTGAACAGCGGAAGCTCTTTGAGCAACAAACGAACATTCACCAAACCATTGGCTAACGCGCTCGAAGGGTCTCGACGCCCTGGGCTCGGTGACTTCCGTTTCTTGTGGATCGAGCTGACAGTAAAGTCCTCCTCGGCCACTGCCAAATCTTTGGAGAAGCTCTCTCTCAAGCGCTTGGAACCCCTCCGCACCGGGCTGGGGCTGGGCTCGTCCACGACAGGAGCCGAAGTCTCTTTCTTCTTCTTCTCTAAAATCATTAAACGCTCCTGCGCTTCTTCTCTGATTGCCCGCTCCACCTCAGGGAAGCGTGGTAGGATATTTCGGAAATCTTCTTTTGTGAGCACGACCAGCATGCATCTTGTACGAGCGATGATCGTCGCCGTGCGTGGCCGATCCATCAGCACGCCAATTTCTCCGAAGAACGCTCCCGGGTTGAGCTCAGCATATATACTCTCGCCATCGCGTGATGTGACCGAGACGGCACCCCGCACCAACCAGTATATCGCCCTTGCATCGTCGCCTTCGGTCAGGATATAGTCGTTGGGGGCATGGAGCTGCGGTCGCAGGTGCTGGCCGACCTCGATCAAGAAGGATTCGGGCGTGGCCTGGAACAACGGAAACGAGCGCAGACGATCGATGAGTTCGAGCGGCAATGCTTTTATATGGGAGGAGGCCAAGGGTGAGGGTCGTGCGGGTCGGTTGGGGTTGAGGACCGAATCGAAGGAATGGATGAGCGACACGGTATCGGACAAGGGCGAGACGGCCTTGGTCGGGCCTCCGCTGGCCCTGCCATGGCGACGCATGATCACAAGCAGAACGGAGCAGGATCGGATGGAAAAGATTTGCCGGCGAGAGACCAGGTATATAGGCCTAGGAGCATCAATAGAACGATGACGTCGACGAAAGCAGCGCCAAAGTCGAGCTCCCCGTGGGCATTCTTTCACACCCAATGGGTAGATTCGCGACGCTAGCAGAGCAGCATCTGCAGGGGACGAAGATAGGAGGATGGGGGAAGCTGGAGGGGTCAAAGGATGAGAAGGATGTCAAAGCTCGCGGGCAGAGAGTCCCTTCGTGTGAAGGTGGGGTGGAAGGAGTCGACTCAGCGACGTCAAATGCGGTTGAGCTCCACCGATCTTCTGGCAACCTTCGGAAACTCTATGAGAGAACCCGCCAAAGCTCCTCAGCCTGAGCTCCACTTCTGCGATTTCGCCCAAAGCTTCAATTTCTCTCATCAGAGAATTCCGCTGCCAACTATCTCCTGCCCCCCTTGGTCTGCCTGTTCGCATTGCTGGTGGGGCGGCACAAAGCGGTCAATCATCAATCGGATCGTCGCATTTGTTCTTTCTTTTTCTTTTGTTTTGTGGCTGCAGAAGCCGATCTATTGGTCCGAGAGTCGATTCTCAAAGAGAAATTTTACGGAAGGTAAGGATGACCATTAGCTATCAAATAAGTAACTGGTCACGAGCATTGACGAGTTTGGCATGAGATGTTACTACTTTTGGATGACTCCGAAAGTAGGCCCAAGAGCTTAACGCACACGCTGATCCCAATGCGGGTTTCTCCAACGAGCGCGCGCTGAGACCGTGTCAACCTACATACTCTCTTCACAGAGTCCAAACTCTCCTGCAGACCCTAGCAATTATTCCAACGATCGCGATATTCTGCTCCGTATTTTTGGCAGCAAATCAATTTGCAATCCTACTTTGCTTGCTCATATAGTATCGCTAATTTCTTTTGTGGCCGCTGTATTACTGGGAGGGTATCATCACGTGTCCGAGGCGGCTACAATAGCCCGCGCGGGTTCGCCTGAGAAGCCATAGCCAATTGTAGGGTGGCTATATGTAGAGAAATAGTGGTAAAAAGGAGTTTTATATACAACGGTACAGCGGGGTATCAAGAATGCGAATAGAACATCAAAAATAGGACAAGGTATCTGATGAGGTGTCTGGACTCGCCCCCACATCACATCTTCCAGAATAGGAGCCAGCAACAGAGAAAGCAAGAGCTTTATCGGTGGCCTTCCGAAGTTGCAATGTCCAATTCGTTCATCCGTGCCATCCGGCGGCGCCAATTGACCAGCAGATCTCAGGTGAAACCTGGCTGGGGATGTCAGTCATGTCCCAGTTCGGCAGTCTGGGCCGCCGGGGAGACGAAAGTGGACAGTTGTACACTGCTCATGCGATAGATGTCGGCTTTATTTGTATGGTATTCCGCCGCAGTTCAACTCGATTCCGAGGAATGGCGGAGATGCCTCAAAAATGTGGCAGACTCTTGAGGCCATTCTTCCTGAGGGCTCCAGCGACGCTAGTTGGCAAGACTGACCAGTCACAATCCGACCGAAGGAAGCAAATGAATGCAAGCGCAAATGCGGTCATATCAGATCGAGCCCTCTTTCACATGCTTGGATCGTCGATTTCCGGTGATGAAATCAATATAGGCCGGGCGATTACCCTTCATAGTTTCCAGGGCGTCTTGCAATAGCCCATACACCAAGCTCATCTTCAGACCAAGCTTAGCGGTTCTTGCGGCGGTATAGACATCGTGGCGGGCTGGCGAGAGTGGTATTATATGAGTAATCTAGTTCGGGAACGAAGGATCGGATCAGGCCTTACCTAGCAGACTGTAGATTCCCGAGCAGGACAAGCCGGCTGTGACGGTCGACAAAAAGTCCCGCTCGTCATGTCGAGCATAGTCTACCGTCTCTTCAAACAAGCAAAATGCAAGTGCCCCTGCTCCCAGCTTCGACCCCATCTTAAACCCATCCTTCACGCCGCCCACCACTGAGATGTAATTCTTGGTCTTGTGGTACTGGAACCATCCGGACGAAGTCGTGGGGAACCGATGGGCATTTTCGGCGCGGAACACAAGGCCTGCTTTCTTGCTTCCGTGATAGTATCCTAGGGCCATTCCAGTGGTGAAAGCGGACATGAAAGCGTAGGGTATGCGTCGGTCGACATCGATGCCGAGCCGTGGAGGAGTATCCGATTCGAAGAGCTTGTGCCATTGAAGAAGCTTCAAAAGGAGCGAAGACTCCCTAGCGGAGTCAGTCTTTGACGGTTGATTATCCATTTTTTGATGGATATGTGCCAGAGTTGAAGCACTTTGAGCGTCGAGTAGCCGATGTCAGTGGAGATGAACGGCGCGCCAGAAAATCGGAGCGCGGCCTGGTCCCGCCCCGGCTCTCCGCCTTGCTCACTTCTATCAGAGCAACCTTCGCCTAGACAAATAACTTCACCAAATCACATCCACAACCCTTCAAAATGGTATGTCAAAGCATTTTAATTGCCCGGTTAACCTCATTTCTTAATGACTTTGGGTGTCTAGCCCCCAAAACAAGCAAAGCCCGACTCGCGCGCGACGACCCTCCTCTTCAAGAAGCATAAGAGCACCGTCCTCCTATCCCTCCAACCACACGAACCCCTGACGGCCGTCAAAGAGAAGCTACTCGAAGCTTTCCGATCGCGCAACCTAACTGAAATAAATGGAGAGCCTGTTCCCTCCGATTCGGCTCTCATCGAGTTTGGCGTGCCCGTGGACCGAAGCGATCTTGAGAAAGGATGGAGGCTCCTACAGCCCGAAGGAGGAGATACAACGAAGACAACTGCCGGCAAGAGAGCTTCTTCCGGGACTTTGTTAGCTGCAGGTCTCGACAATGGCCATCTAGTTGCATTCCGCTTCCGCAACCCGGATGAGGTTCAAGGAAGTGACGAGATCGATGCAGACGGTGACTTGAACGATCCTGGCTGGGATGTGGTCATTCCCAGCTTCGAAGACGAGGAGGAATAGCTTGTTTCGGCATCGAAATTCACGAATGATGGATTGCATACGACTGAGAACGTTTGGGGATCACGAGTGCGGCTCCCGGCGCATGTGGAGAAGGGTGGCTTCTGGCTTCATGTCTCTCTTACGGAACGGAGTTTACTGGCGGTTTTGGGTTGAACACGAACAACAAAAGCAAGAGAATATCAACCTCTACAGCATGTCATAAATTGTACAACACTATTGTATCGTAATCTTGTGCAATTGCTGAAATATCTACCCGACATCGACGGTGCCTAATACCCCCACTATTGCTAGCTCCCTTGCCCATGGGAGGCTGCAAAACTACTATTGATCGAGCGATACCCCAGATAGCGAGAGGTTTCCTGGGTTCTGCCAGATGATATCATGTGGCAAGCTCCTCTGTCATATCGACCATAGCCGTCATTCGAATGATCATCTGAAGGAGGCCCCACAGAGATGAGACACGGTGGTGCGTAGTAATAGTATAGCGGGCGTGGCAGGCAGCTAAAACACGCTTATATAGTGGCATATCCATGATGGCAGTGTGATGGGCTAATTAAATGCCACGGCATCTGCGGGCTAATCGCCACTCTGTAGCCGTTGCTCGGAGCAACCAGGAGGGGACAACACGCACCCCCGTCAACAAATGAAATCACGTCCAGGAGGCTCTCGGAGAATACTGCATCCCGTACCCCATACACCTTTAGCTCCACACATTCTTCATCTTCCATCGTTACTTTCACATACTCGACAAAGACGCCAACACCACCTGCCCTTGCCGACCGCAGGGTGTCGTCAACCGCCTCGACCACTGCCCCGCAACATCGAGACTTGGCGGGAATAAACACGCCCCAGAATTCAACATGGCCTCCTCCGATGGCGCCTCTTCGATCACAGTCGCGGTCCGCGTGAGGCCCTTTACTATTCGGGAGGCGGCCCAGATCTCTAGAACCGACGATGGTCCATTGTTCCTCGGTGATGGGTCGCTGGCTGGCGTCCCAACTCCCAAGCTGAACCAGAAGGGAATTCGGTCCATTGTCAAAGTTATTGACGACCGGTGCCTGTGAGTACAAACATGCTAAATTTGAAAACCGATACGGTCAGGCTGTACTAACCAGCTCTAGTGTGTTCGATCCTCCCGAAGACAATCCCGTTCAGAAGTTCTCCCGGAGCGTCGTGCCCAATGGCAAGCGCGTCAAGGACCAAACATTCGCCTTCGATCGTATCTTTGACCAGAATGCCTCTCAGGGAGAGGTGTACGAATCCACCACTCGTGGTCTTCTCGACAGTGTCCTCGATGGCTACAACGCAACAGTTTTCGCCTACGGTGCCACGGGCTGCGGAAAGACACACACCATCACGGGAACAGCGCAACAACCAGGCATCATTTTCCTGACAATGCAGGAGCTCTTCGAGAGAATTGATGAGAGATCGGGGGAGAAATCAACGGAGATCTCACTCTCCTATCTCGAAATCTATAACGAAACCATTCGCGACTTGCTTGTCCCAGGCACCCCCAAGGGCGGTCTCATGCTCCGAGAGGATGTCAATCAGTCTGTTTCGGTGGCAGGTCTGTCAAGCCACCATCCCCAGAATGTGGAACAGGTTATGGATATGATCGTTCGCGGTAATGAATGTCGCACCATGTCACCAACCGAAGCCAACGCTACATCGTCCCGATCGCACGCCGTCCTCCAGATCAACATCGCCCAGAAAGATCGAAATGCCGGACAAAATGAGCCTCACACTATGGCGACTCTGAGTATTATTGATTTGGCTGGGAGCGAGCGGGCCAGTGCTACCAAAAACCGCGGCGAGCGACTGTTCGAAGGCGCCAATATTAACAAGTCTTTGCTGGCCCTTGGAAGCTGCATCAATGCCCTCTGCGACCCCCGAAAGCGCAACCATATTCCCTACAGAAACTCCAAGCTCACTCGACTTCTGAAATTCGCCCTGGGCGGAAACTGCAAGACTGTCATGATCGTCTGTGTCAGCCCCTCGAGCCAGCACTTTGATGAGACGCAGAATACCCTGCGATATGCCAACCGAGCCAAGAACATCCAGACCAAGGTTACTCGGAACGTATTCAATGTCAACCGCCATGTCAAGGACTTCCTGGTCAAGATCGATGAGCAGATGAACTTGATCAACGAGCTCAAGGCACAAGCAAAGGATTCCGAGAATGTCGCCTTTGCTAAATTCAAGAAGCAGACTGAAAAGAAAGACCTTGTTGTCCGCGAAGGTGTTAGTCGAATTCGGAGTGCTTACGAACACAGTCTTCCTGAGCGACAGGAGAAAGCGAACAACATGCTCAAGCTGAGACAAATTAGCCGCCGCATCGGTATCCTTTCATCATGGATTGCTGCATTTGACAGTGTCTGTGAGTCACATGAGAATCAGGAGGGCTTATCCAGCCTTCATGCCGTCCGAAAAACCGCCCAGGGTATCCTTCTCGAGCTTGAGGGTAGTCGACACCATTACAACCAACGACTGTCCAAAAATACATGGGATCGGGCCATGTTCTCTGCGGTCGAGAACGCCACCAAACAGCTGCAGGAGTTTCAGATCAGTGATGCCAGCGATTACGCAAATCTGGACAGAGAAGCCGAGCTTCTGCGGTCCAACGCCGAACGCGAGGCATTGTCTGCGGTGGTTGATCAGGACAAGGCCGGTGAGGCTGCTGCAATTCAATTGCTGCTCCAGGCTCAGTTCGAAATGATGACCTCCATTGAGGAAATCATGCAGCTCAATGCTACCGAGGCTATTCAGAAGGGACGTCTCATTCTAACGAAGATGCTGGAAGGCTGCACCGAGGCAGTTACGAACCTTGTCAAGCCCGACGGCAATCTGCCCACAGTCACTAGTTTCAATCTGCAGAGTCCTACCAAATCTGCCAGCCCATCAAAGCCGAGAAAAAGATTTAGCTTGGTTGGCATGCCGGCACCACGACTTTCGCTTACTCCTTCTGTTCAGCTCGGTCCGGTGGCCCCTACTTCCCCCATGAAGAGCTCCCCTCGCCGTCGCAAGGTTGCTGCTGGCCGTAAGACTGTCAGCTTTACACCCAAGAAGACGCAGGCCAAGGCCTCCAAGCGATCTGTCCGCTGGAAGGACGACGAGGAAGATGGTCCCCTCATTGAGTTCCAGAAGACACCACAGAAAGCTCCTGTCGAACCCTCAGACGATACCAGCTCTGAGACAGAACCCTCCGAACCGCCTCTCCCCCGGGGTATATCTCCTATTCCCCGAAACATTCCTCGAAAGTTCAGCCCGTCTTATTCGATTTCCCCTGCTCCAGGGCTGGCTGAACCAACCCTGAACGTTCAGAAGAACGGCAGCCGATTCAAAGCCGGGTTCCTATCCAAGAAATCTGGCAGCTCTCCCTTGGGCCCACCTCCGTCTACCACCCTTCCTATCTCCGACAATGAGAAATCTCCTCTCCGCGATATTGAGGGAAGTAGTTTCTTGAATCGTGCTTCATCAGAGAAGCCGTCCCGGATTGCCGTCCGTTCTCCGAGTGGGAACTTCTCGAGCAGCCCAGTTTCCGATAACAAGGACAACTGGAAGACGGACAAAGACGAGGCTCTGAAGATCAATTCCGTTATGCGCCGCATCTCCAGCAGTCACGCTGTTACCACCGGTAGCAACTCGTTAAGGGTCCACCGCCGCCGCAGCCCAACCTCAGCAACATACGGCAGCTCTCCCAGCGATGGTACCATGTTCACCGCATCGCAAGCGCGGCGCATGGTCAAGAGCGAGCGCGAAGGTGAATCCAAGCCTAGTGTCCTCAGCCCTCATACTCTTCCGGTTATGAAGAACACTGGGCGACGAACAACTTTGGGGGGTGACATCCGACCTCGGCATGCTAGCCTGTCTAGCAGGGACGCACTGCGCCTCAGCGCGATCGCAGCACCCACCATCGAACACACACCTGATTTTACATCCAGTGGACTCCGGTGAATGACCCTTTAATGTTACTATTGTGCTTTGCATGGACTATCGAAACTCGACATCCGGCGTTGGCATTGGCGTACTAGATACCATCCTTCCTTTCTTGTTTTTTTTTTTTCTCTTTTGTCTTGCCTTCCGGGGATTTCATGGTGTTTTCATCTCCTAGGCCATTTCTCTCTTGTCGTTGCCTACATTGTTCGGGTCCGGGTGCTTTACGGCAGTGTACTGTCGATGTTTCTTTTGTGTATCTTCTCTTTTCACTCGACATATTCTTCTTGATGTGTACATTAATGACATTGACCTGGCTCCTTTCAACACATTGTTATCTTGAGTGTACCTCTGTAAGCAGACATCGGCGATCGAGGGACTCGTCAGGGCTGAAGAACTGGAACCATGATTAGCGTTAGGGCTTGGCTCGAAGAAATGCGGGGAGCTTCGATTTGTCAGAAACTTGAATGACGCCACCCTGGGAGTCCGACAGCTTCCAGATCGGGACTGGCAATTCTTGTACTTTCTTCCAGCATCTCAGCCCCCAGAAATCTCGGGATATTTCTTGTGGGATCATATTCTATTCCACCTCGCAATCCGATTGTGCAGAAGAATTGATCGCGTCAGCTTATCCCGTTCATCCCCACTTCTCATTCACGACGTCCCCACTCGAACCCAGAAATTATTCTGGCAGATGTCTTTCGCCGCGCCAATTGCTTCAACCTTCTTCTCTCGCCTCTTCCGCCCCTTCTCAACCAGCTCGCCAATTCTCTCCGTGACTCCCGAGTCGCAAGCGCGCAAGATGTCTACCACCACTGAGAAGGCCACCCTCGCTGCGGGCTGCTTCTGGGGCGTCGAGCACTTGTTCCGGAAGCACTTTGGCAACGGCAAGGGTCTTCTGGATGCGAAGGTCGGTTACTGTGGTGGCCAGACGTCATCGCCATCCTACCGTGCCGTGTGCGGTGGTGACACTGGCCGTAAGTCATATTCCGAAGCTTTCCGATCTTCGATAAGGAGCTCTCAAGCCGCGCGCGACTTCATTGCTAACTTTGTCTGGTGTGATCCCACAGATGCCGAAGCTCTCCAGATCTCCTTCGATCCTTCCGTCGTAACATACCGTCAACTCATCGAGTTCTTCTATCGTATGCACGATGCGACGACGATGAACCGTCAGGGCGGTGATGTCGGCACCCAGTACCGCAGCGCGATCTTCACACACGGCGAGGAGCAGCAGAAGGTTGCGGAGGAGGTTACGGACAAGGTCAGCAAGCAGTGGTTCAAGAAGCCTGTGTCCACTCAGGTCCTGCCTGCTGGTCAGTGGTGGGATGCCGAGGAGTACCACCAGCTGTACCTAAACAAGAACCCTGCTGGATACGAGTGCCCTGCTCAGTATGTGAACCCTGGTTGTCCTTGAAAGAGGTCTTTGTTGGGTGTTGGAAATACAAAACTGCTAACTGTTCATTCTCTTAGCTTCGTGCGAAACTTCCCCCCTCTTTCGGATTGACTTGGATCCAAAATATAACGGGAAGGGCTTTCCATTTAAGGAATAACTGAACACCATGACATATATAGCATGGCATGTGAAATGACAAATCAGGACGCGGGGTGGGAAAAAGGGGTCAACTTTCTTTCGTTAGACACAATTATGTTCTCGAACCTAGAATCTGTTGTGAATTGAGGCTCTTCCATCTTAGGACGGTAGCATGAAGCCCTGTAGGCAGGCCATACATGTAAAAGTGAACTAGGAGGATCGTAATGGTAAAATCAAGACTGTTGATACTCGACCATTTTTTTTGCTTTCAGCCGCTACCGAGGGAAATTGATCACGCCAACAAGGAATGCGGGGGTAGGTATACATCGGAGATATGCGCTTCATCAAACTCCTACATCACAGAGCCTCCACCATAGCCTCCCCGCGAACCCCCTGGTTGGACCTTTCACGGTATCCCTTGGAAGCCATCTTTACCTCAATTCGAGTTTTATATTCGCTGACGACTAACATATCCAGGGTCACGACCCCCATGTCATGTAAAAAGGGCTAACTACTTGTGGTTAGCTTACTGTCGTCCTTTTAAGCCTCACAAACCCACCCTCAATGTGACAGGCGTCCGCCAGTATGTCACCTTCGCCTAGGGTGTGGTTGGTGCCCGTCCTCATCGCTGTGCTGGGTTTACTTCTTATACGTCGAGAATATGGCCAACCCGTCGAATTTATTCTGACCAATAACAGAAGCTCTCTTCTCTTATCAAGTACTCCACAGCGGCTGCTAGACATCGATGACGCCCTGGTATCAGAAACCAATCCAGCACGAGAAGATGGCACTTTTGATTATGAGCGCTGTGCAAGGCTGCACAATTATCTCGTCGCGTATGGATGGATGGCGCATCACGAGCGAGAAGTGGACGACCTTCAAGAATTGCTGGACCGGCCGTCCTTTTTTGAACTCGAGCGCGGCGAGTCACTGTTCCCTATGCACCGCCTGAATCCAGAAATGATTTCATTCCTGCAATCTATTATTCTGCCGGGTCCTCGTGAAGGATTGTTCTACTGGGTGGCCGAAGTGGACATGTCCCCAGCTGATCTTTACATGGATGGGGAAAGCATGCTACGCAACAAGGAGCGTTTTGTCATCCTCTACAACTCTTGGGTGGAATTCGGATCGCATGGTATCGGCCTCTTATTTGATCAGAAGCGGAATCGTGTAGCGATGCCCCTTGTGATTGAGAATCTTGAAAGCATCGAGCCTATCAAGAACCATTTGGACATGTGGTTCCCGCTCGAGACGATGCTGACCAACTGGATTCACATGCTTCGCATTGGCAAAATCACTGCTAGTCCGCCGGAGCACGAGTTCCCATCCCCCATTGACCGATTAGGGTCGTGGGTATGGCAACCTTATAGCTCTGCTCAAGTCGACAGCGGCGTGGATGCTATGAATCGACTCTCGGCTGCAATCGAAGCCAGGATGCCTTCCCGCTCCCATCTCTCGGTCTCTCGAGAATCTCCTCTTTTGACCGATGCCGAACTAGATGCAGCGTCCGTTCCGGAGAATTGCTTCATTCGCTCAGTTCTGTCCAAGGTGAACACGCCCCGCTTCAAATTCATTGCACCGGGCTTAGAAGTACCGCACGATGCCACGGCATTCGCAGCACGCCAGAAGTTTACCGGCCTACCTCGCCACCCTGAATCGGGCACGGTTAAATCACCGGTGTTGATTTTCGCCAGCAAAAAACGCACGGTCAACTTCAACAAGGAAATAAGGTGGCTATTTTTCACCGCTTACGACCCAATTCCCTACGACAATCGTGATCGCATCCCTGTAGGGCTATACTCCGAGTTTGCACGTCGAGGAGAGTACGATGTTGAAGAGGAAGGTTTTCGTCTTTTGCTACCTTTCAAATTCCGCACGGAGTTTGGGGATGAACATCGTGCTAGGAAAAGCGATGGAACCCTCGTGTCTAGGGGTTCGGTGTCCGAACTTTTCCAGCATGGGTCTTATCGCCCATTCGGGGGTGAATCGCGGGCTCAACGATTCGAAAGGCTAATGGATCGGTGGCGTGAATTGGTGGAGAGTGGTGTTTGGAAGGTTGGGAAGAACGGTGTCAAGGGTGATGTTGATCAGTTTCGAGAAGCGGACTACGGTTATTGGAAGGATTATTGGATACCTCCTGGATGGTGAGGGTAATGGGGCTAAGGAGGGTACGATTTACGCAGCGTAAAGTAATTATTCACCAATTTTACAACAGCAACCAACAGTTTCTTTGAACATGAAGGGTTTGAAATTGTATGGTCTTGGCGGAGGAGTTTTATAAGTCTAAATTCGTCCTAAATCATTCCCGGAACACTAGGCCATAGAACGACACCGCGGAAGGTACAATCATCCCCAAAACGATGGCCTGGAACACACTGGTGCTATCCCAGCCAGCCATGTTGGCGAACATTCTTGCCAAAGTACCGCCAACGATACCCATCCACACGACAAAGAATCCCAAATCATTCCAGCGTTTCCATGCTTGGTCTCGCTTGGTTATTTCACTAGTCGAGCGCATAGAGGTACCCCATCCATCCTGGAACACCGTGATCAGGCTCCAAAGATGGATCATAGGGAGAGGGATATTGTAAAACAACAGACCCGGTCCAATCCAGAGCCAATAGTTCGTTGGCCCTCTGTCAGGGTTGCGGAAGAAGTTGTACAGCAATGTATACACAATACGAATGCCGACGTCGTACCAGTTGAAATAAGCAAAGCAGCGACCAGTGATGAGGTAGTAGAGGATGTAGCCAAATCCAAGCAAGGGTCCGGCCTCTCGCTTGATGGCAGCCCAGAAGAAGAGCGGGTTGTTGAGGACGTATATTTGAGGCTGTTGGAAGGACTCGATGTGACCGGCTCGGCTCCAGCGAACTTGTTGCATGATCCAGCGGCTCAAAGTTGTGGGTGTGTCAGTTGCAGTCAACGTGTCAGACACATATGTGACAGTCCACCCGCGCATGAGGAGATTGGTGGTGAGATGGCGATCCTCGTTGACGACCATTCGATGTCCAAGCACGGTCTGCGTATACCATGGATATAAGACGGCTGGGAGAGCGCAGATTCGGAATGCGGTACTGGGGCCTGACTGGCAGTCACTGGTTCCAGAGGCGGTTGAGGTTGACCGGGTCATATACAGCTCAGACCAATAAACTACACTGCCGAGTTTGGTCGTGATAGTGTCGTTCTCATTGTGCACAATCAAGCCCGAGCTACCACCACCGACATGAGGGTCACCAGCAATGGTTTCAATGGTACTCCGCAATGAGTCAGACATGATGATGGTGTCAGAATCGGAGGACCATAGGTACTCGATGCCCAGCATTTCGGAGATCACAATAGAGAAAATGAAAGCTGAAAACATAATTCCCTTTTTATGTAGATGGGGCTGGAAGAGACACAGTCTTGTGATACCACCAGCCTCGCCAAGATCAAGGTCATACTCAGAGAGAATCTCGCGTGCAAGCTGGCAGCAGTGGGCAATGGTAGCTTCCATATAGACCTGGGGAGCCTGGGCGTTACCATCGACCTTGGAGAGCTTCTCAAAGGTCTTCATGGCAACTTCACCCAGGGGCTCATCAATTTGAATGACGGCGGATTTCTCCGGAAAGACCTGGATATCATATTAGTGCAGTCCTAGCAGACCAATTTGGAGCTACTTACTTCTTGAAAGACTCGAACCATCTCCATGTCTGGAGTGTCATCACCATCAACGCCCACTAGGATGAAGCGGCATTCCGCCGCAGTTTTGTAGCTGGCTAGGGCACGAGCAAAAAGACCTGGGTCCTCACGATACCCAACTATCGCGGCCATGCATTCCGTGGCTCTCTTGATGTCCGTAAGCAGAGAGCTCGCTTTCTCTAGGTCTTGAACACCCTGCGATGGGGCGTTCAGTCGTCGCCGTCGTCTCTCATTTTCAAAACGATTGTATTCCGCCGCAAATATCGTTAGCAAGATATCTAGTGTCAACGGGTGTCGCGTATAGCCGGTGATGAAGGAGTAAATAGGGATCACAATAAGGCATCCCAGAAGATTAAGAAATTGGCGCAAGCGAGAGACATCGGGACCCCGTTGTTGGAACATGGAGAACCCGGAAAACGGACTTTTTTCATTGAATGGGTCCATTATAATGGCACTCACCCAGGGCGAGGAGGAACGAGTGACGATGAAGAAATTAGAAACTAATGGGAATAATAACGAGGGCCTGGGAGGGAAAAACTTCAGAAAGAGAATCAGATAAATACGAACGAGTGAATACATTAATTTTTTGGAGGCGTCCGCCAGGCCCGCTGTCCACTTTCTTTTTCCGCGTCCAAAAATAAAACCGCACATTGAGGCCTCATGAGTCCATGACTGGGAGCCTGATTCGAGTCATACTAGTGCAAAATTTCAACGACTTCTCGCACTAACTCAGGGGCATTCTCCGGTCATACACCGACCATGCGGGCGTGGGTTTGAGACCGTTCTCGTATAGGTTGGCGACAGCGAATAGAAACTTCGCTCTTGTGAGCCGCATACTCTGGATAGGTCAGCGCTATCCCCAAAGCGGCTTAGAAGCCAAGCTGATTGAGAAACAACTCCAAGACCTCCAAGACAGCAGAAGTCAAATGGTGGGCTTAGTAGTGGGGTTTCCATCACATGGAGCCGGCAGAAGGTGCCTAGTGGGGCCTAGGCAGGTTGACTATCCGGTTTAGTTCAAGGGTCTGTTCGAATATTCACCGATTTTCGTTGATCTGAATTTTTGGGTTAAAAAGGAGAGATGCCGACATTCCGATCAATGTGGAAACGCGACTGTGATGGCGAAGCGTCTTCTTCATCTACATCTACAACGATGCGCCAGCCATTTTACAAGGACAACCGCATAGTCCCTTTGGGGATTATGCTGTTAACGTTTTTCATTTTTGTTTATCACTTTGAATTGGATCGTCAAGGCCCATTGGGCGAGATCCCCGCGACGGTCGTTCCGAATACATTCCTTGTTGAATCGTCAAATTCAAATCCTAATGCCACCACCAACTATGCGGATGAAGCTGTTGACCAGCCCGTTCACCATGACATTCCCTCCCCTCTTCCTTCCGCTAAACCGCCAATCTCACCCTCCTCCACAACTCATTCGCTCCACCAGCCGAAAGGCCTAACTACCGACGATGTTATTCTTATGTTCAAAACCGGTGCTACCGTTTTATGGAAGCGAGTGCCTATCCACATGGCGACTACATTCTCACCCAATCGCATCAGCCCCGAAAATATTATCATCTACTCCGACTATCCCGAGAGCATAGGGCAATGGGAGATCATCGACGTTCTTTCAAACACCTCCGATCAAGTGCGCAACTCGGAGACCTTCAAGCCGTACCTCCAGCAGGAGGACTACGAATCACGTCAGAACTATGCTGAAATGTCCAACATGCCCGGTGATGCTGCCGGGCCTCCCGGAGGATGGAAGCTCGATAAATACAAATTCTTGCCTATCATTCAGCATGCAGGACTGAACAAGCCCAATGCCAAATGGTATATCTTCATGGAAGACGACTCCTACATCTTCCTTCCCAATCTCCTTCGCCATTTGGAGAAGTTTGACCATAAAGATCCTTGGTATCTGGGTAGTCTGGCCTGGATCCATGGAGACTACTTCGCTCACGGTGGCTCTGGCTTTGCGCTATCTCGGGGGGCTTGGGAAAAGAGTTTCGGAAAAGACCCACGTATCGTGGAGAAGTTTGCGGAATTCACCGAAGAGCATGGCTGCGGAGATCACATCCTTGGCCATGTACTACATGAATACGGTGTACAATTCGGCGAAACCACGGACGATGATCGATTCCGGTATGGGTTCAATCCCGACGCTCACTGGTCGACATGGTATGAGCCCGCCAACTGGTGCAAACCGGTGTACAGCTGGCATCACACGCATGGAAAAGACGTTGCCCGGTTTCACAAGCTCGAACAGTCTTGGGACTTCGAAAAGGTCAGCACTGTTGCGCCCCAGTTTTATTCATTCGCAGGATCACAAAGCTAATTCTAAATAGGGCCCTCTGAGATATCGCGACATTTACGAGGCGCTGGTCGCCCCGTATCTGCGTGCTCGCGCAGAGTGGTGGGATAATTGGTCGGGGAAGTATGAGATTAAATCCAGCATGGCTGCAAGTGCCGAGCCACCAAGCACGGTCAAGTCTACTGAGACATGGCGCAGCGCCTGGAAGTCGGTGGAGGCGTGTGAGGCAGCCTGCATAGCTTGGGCTGACTGCGTGCAGTGGTCGTTCTACGAGGACCGCTGTAAGATGGACAGCATGGTTTTATTGGGCAACGGTATTCCGGAAGGTGACTCTAGGCGACAAACTAGCCTCCCTTGGGTCAGCGGATGGCTGCCACGTCGGATTGAACACTGGACTTGCCAAGAATAATCCAAGAGACCAAGAAATCAATTTGGAGTTGTATCGTACATAGAATAAGACGAGTATCAAAAAATAAGCAGCCGCAAGCCACAACTCCATCAGCCCCTCACCATGTCTTAGAGGTTAAATCGTGATGACCATCTTACTCGCGAGGCTTGCAGTTGAAGAAAAAAGTTGTGCTCGACTGCCTAGCGAGTTGTACTACGAAAGTCTATGCCACGGTTCCATCAGTCAAGATTTGCATAGTTAGTGGGTCGCTCCTCTCGGATTTGTACGGAAATAAGGACCCTGTTTAATAAGACATTCTGGGCCCGCTAAGACAACGCTAGCACGTTAACTGACGGCCCCCAAAAATAATCACTGTGGATCATCGGATACTGTTACATTCAATTCTGCTGCTAAAATGCGTCCATCAAATAATGGATCGAAATGCCCCCTTCTTCATCCATTTTACCAAGGACCATGGACCGCACCACCTGGCTCGATGGCCTTCGAGGCATCGCGGCGGCCATAGTCGCGACAGATCACTATTTCATGGGCGGCGTTCTGGACAATGCCTTTCTCTCATTCTGGGCTGATCCGCCCGAAGAAAATCGGAGGCTTCTCCAACTGCCTCCGATTCGCCTCCTTTTCGCCGCACATGCAATGGTCCCGCTATTCCTCGTGATCTCGGGGTATGCGATTTCGATAAACCTTCTACGACTAAGAAACAGTGATGACGGTCAGTTTATACGTCGCCTGTCTTCAGCAGTCAGCAGGCGGATTTTTCGCATCTATCTACCGGTCTTTGTTATCGCCATTATATCACAGCTTCTTTACTTTTGTAATATTTACCAATGGAACTTTGGTGATGAGGTTGTCTGGGGCAGGAAGCCGTGGACTGCACCATGGTTGCACATTACCTATGTCTTTCGCTATATGCTCGATATCACCAATATTATCAATTTCCAGGGCAATCCTGGCTTGAATGGCCAACTTTGGACGATGCCTATGGAGTTCCGGGGCTCCTGTATCGTCTACGTTACGGTCTTGGGGCTAGCATTCTGGAGGCCTCAGCTTCGACGCATAGCGCTCGGGTGCCTAATGAGCTATTGGTTCTACTTTGGTCTGTGGGATGTTTTTGGCTTCCTAGCTGGTCTATACCTGGCTGAGATGCGACTACTCTCAGGGCCAAGAGCCGACGAGGAGCCAAAACTGCCCTACTACTCTTTAGGAAGCTGGACATCGAGTATGAAATCTGTCAATTTCTCAGCAATCTGGAGTTATTCCTGCTTCATATTTGGAATTTATCTTCTTTGTCTAAGCGACGATGGTGAATTGCCTCCCGGCTACCTGTTCCTCAAACTTGTCGAGTCATCACGCTGGGAGAATGACTGGGCAGTGCTCAGCAAATGCTGGAAAACGGCAGGATCCGTCCTTGTGGTCTATGCCATCAGCCAATTGCCACGTCTACAACGGCCTCTGACCTCGAAACCGATGCAGTACCTGGGCAAGATATCATTCTCGCTCTACCTCGTGCACCAGTCTGTTTATCACCTTGTGCGTGACCCGGTGAGGAACCTTTTGTGGTACATTGCAACTAGGGAGTCGTATCCTGGCACAAAGGACGCCAGTGAATTCACGATACCTTTTGCATTTACATGGTTGATGGGGTATATGATCATGTCTATGATTAATTTGTATGCGGCACACCTGTATACGAGGTATGTCGACGAACGCTGCGTGGAAATGGCAAAAAGGATCGACAAATGGCTTACTAGAAAATGATTATGTATAATAATATCAACAATTAGCGTTAAATCATACTTCAGACCGACTGTTCTCTGCTTGTATCTTCCTGCATTAGGTTTCTCCAAGTAACAGTGATGCACGCTTCATTGCCTTTACTCTAAAATATGTCACTCCCCCTCCATAATCTTTCTTCTACGAGATGTGCGCCTCAATGCTCAGATTTTCTCTCTCAAGACTCATTCTATCAAAGCTATATTATTTTATTTCTTGCTTTTCTCTGAATGTCTGGTGTGGTCGACATTTGTATACCTCACGTATCACGTGGGAGAACTAGATGGGACAGGTCTCGACCAATCATCACACGATCTTCGATGCGTAATCGCTAGCGTCGCCCCCAAGAACAACCTAAGATAAAACCACTTCATCCCCTATGAGCAATATTTCCCGCTGCATCTCCCATAGAACCTGCAGATTCTCCCCTTGCTCGGCATCCTGGTCTCTTGATTACTCGGACCGGGGGTTTGTACGGCTTCATGGCCGCAACGGCGTCCTGAAGCCCCACCAGCATAGAATCTGCCAATATGCCGGGCCGCTCATCAACTAATCTCAACGGCACTACAATCGGGCTGTTGCGATCCAAGTCGGGATGCAAAACATGCAAGTGAGTCGATGCCTTTTGTCTCCTAAATTCCAGTTATACTGATTCCCTCTAGAATCCGAAGGGTCAAATGCGGAGAGGAAAAGCCTCACTGTGTGCGATGCACCAGTACAGGCCGCAAATGTGACTACGATGATAGAAAGTCTTCTAAATTCTCTATCGTCCCCTCGACGCAGCCCATACTCGCAAACTCATTGTCGATGTCGCCAAACACTATGTGGCGAGAACGACGCGCTTTTGCCTACTACTTCCAGAATGCCGCATCGGCTGTGGGCGGTGGATTGGATGTTGACTTCTGGCGCACCATTGTCCCACAACTGTGCCGAAGTGAACCCGCCGTGTGGGATGCCATCATCTCCGTCAGTGCTTTATTTGAAAGCCCCGAGCCGATTTCAGATCCAGATCGCATTCAGAACCACCGGGACGCGCTAGGCTGGTACTCGCGCTCGGTCTCTGCGGTTCGTCAGCAAATCGAGCGCGGTAGTGTGGATACCTTCGTCGGATTGATCAGTTGTGTGCTTTTTATATGCATTGAAGCACTTCAAGGCGGCGTGGACGAAGCTATACAACTCTATTGCCAAGGGGTGCATTTAATTCTTGCTTTGCGTACTCAAATAGCCAGCGGCTTGGTCCCGGCGGCCAAGGCTACCTTGTTGGAAGACACGATTGTTCCCATATTTATCCGGTTGGGGCTGATTGGATTCACCTTTTCTCGGCCGCAGATTGGCTTGCTTTTGCGGGGTATCAAACGCAGGCCGACGCACATATTCGTTTCCCTGAGGGCTGCTCGGGAGGAAATCACCCGCTTAGGCGCAGAGATCCAGTTCTTTCAACATGCATGTGGAGAACATCTTTTGAGTCCAGACGAGCCGCGTATACCCCAGGATCTGCTGGATCTACAGGCAGATCTATCAGTCCAGTTGAGAGACTGGGACACTGCCTTTGTGAACCTGGTGGAATCATTACGTACCACCTCCTTGCCATCGGAAGACGTTGGCACTATCTCACTCTTGTCCGCAATTTACGAAACGCTCTTTATCATGCTAGAGGTTTCTGCATCTTCATCCGAGGTCATCACCGATGCGTTTTTACCAAATTTCCAACGAATCGTGGAGCAATGTCGAATCTCTCTGGACGCGTCACTGCGTGCAGATGGCACACAGCCACCATTCACATTCGATATTAATCCGGGGGTTGCACTATGGTTCACCTGTCTGAGATGTCGAGATCCTATCATTCGGCGCGAAGCACTAGCCCTCATGCTCCGGTCTCCGCGAGTACAGGGCTTCTACAGCTGTATGTCTGCCGTCACCTTTGGGGAAAGGATCATGCTGCTCGAAGAAATGAACGGGGAGGTGATGAGTACCAACCCCGAAACAACGCACTTCTCGACCACCGAATCGCTCGTCGGGTATCAATACAGCCCGAGGTCCAGCTCGAGCTTGTCTCCCGAGTCTACAGGCTCTGATGCGGGTACGCCGCTGATACATCCTATCCCGGAAGAAGCGCGTATCGGGCATTTTGATGTCTTCCAACCAGAGAGAGGGCTTCCTCCTGACATCACCGAAGAAGTCATGGCGAGATGGAATCTCCGTCCTGATCGGACATTTTTGGGATTTTGGCGAAACGAGCGTGATGAAGGCAGTGATACCTGGCGGATGGTTCGTGAATATATTCCCATGGATCTTAAATATTGATGCTAGTTTTTTGTCAACTGCCATATGTTGAAAACTACCTGTTTGCTATCATGACCTCCGAGACCGAGGCACCTCCTGCATGAGAGATTATTACATATACATACACGTGCATGGCCGTTAAATCCACATTTCGGGTCTTTATCGCTAAACAAGGCAGACTCGACACCGCTAGGTTGGAATTGGAATCCCTGTTTTCCCCATCGTCACTCGGGGCTTCCTCGATAGCAATTTGAAGGCCGGAGCTAAAGAGCCGAAAAGCCCATGTTCACCCCCAACTGAAGGGCTTTCATGGGACATATCACATAATGAACCGGATCAATGCACCTTAGCTTGATCGGGCGTTCGCAAAATAGAGAAGCCCCGCCCGGAGCCTCGTTCACGGAGTCCGGGTCTTGAGATAAGGGAGGAACTGCACCGACCCAGTGTAGTATAAATAGCGTATGGACCACAAGAATGCATTCCCTACTACCCTGGTAGGCTCAGTCACGAATCACCTGGTCAGCTAAGCACTAAGCGGAGAAATTAGATTATTTGGAAAACTGGAGCACAAAGTACATCGTAGTAAAGTACATCGTGGTGAGTCGCCTATTCTTCTCTGCCCATGATCCAAAAATGGCAACTTTCGTCCTCGCGTAGGGTAATCTCCCGACTGACTCGCCGACCCGCGTGGTGGCGGGTTTATTGGTTTGTGAACGGGTCCGGCACTAGTCTACAAGTGGGAATTGGGTCACAGCCCCATCGAGTAAACGGACAAAGGACGGGGAAACCGTACGATATTCTGTACGATACGGGGTACCGGCATCGACGCCGTCGAGGGCACAGTATGCGCGCGTGGGACGCCACGCTGAGATCGGGCGCGATCTGGTGAAGAATAGGGAGAAGCAAAGCATTTCTGAATACCAGGTTGAGCCCGATGTGAATTCTGTAGCGAGGTCACATTTAGTTTGCTCTCAGAGTGTGAATAGATTCAATCTTATCGTATCAATTATGTTGAGCTATGAGACTGGGAGCATTATGTTTCCCCCCCTTACCTTGAAGGGGATGACACATTCCTGGGCTTGAACAGTAAACAAGCCGCCCCAAGAAGAAGTAAATAGACGATCTAAACCTAAATCCCCCGGCATTCCTTCTGGAAAGCATAGCGGTGGTTGCTGGCTTAAAGTACGGATTGTTTATCATAAACACTGGATATCGATCTCGTAGATACGATAGAATAGTGACATAGTTGTACTAGATGTTCCCGAGTAACGACACCCCTGACCACCCTGTCCACTGCGTGCTCAGGCGATCAGCAGAAAAAAAAAGTTTTACTTTACGGCAGCTCATTCGTTCGCTGATTAGCTCCCTTAGCTCCCTTAGCTTCAAAGTGGATGCCCCTCTCTTGCGGCAGGCGGCGACTGGTTAAGAGGACGGCGGACTCATCGGACAAGGTTGGCGATTGTAGTGGATCGACGGATGTTCGTTCCTGAGTGATATTATGTACACACCGTTTTCTTGGACTATGAAGATCTGGCAATGGGACAAGCACATTGATGTGCATGTAATTATGTGTAGGTTGGTATGACCCCCCTGTCTATCCATGCCAGGTACGGACTACGGTACGTACGTAACTATGTACACAGTCGTACTCTACGTATGTGCTTCTGGGCAGTTGCTTGGCAGGCACCACTGGACATCTTGGAATATTCTTGGGGGATTCTTGGTGCCGAGCAGATTTTGGTAAACTTTGGTAACAGTTGGGGGCCACCCCGGTTTGCCCAGCTGGTGTACGGAGTACAAACCGGTTATAAGTGGTGAGTTTGGCGCCGAGACTGACTATTGGGCTTGGGTACGTTCCCACGGCTTTTCTTGGGAGAGAACGAAGGTGGTCTTTTTTATTTCAGCAGCCTGGTCGGGGGTGACCGGTTGTGCGCTCCTGATCCAGAGAGGGTTAGCTAGCTCACTAGTGAGTGGGAGTCGTGGTGGCGAGGTTAGACATACTGTACACTCGGATACGTAGCACGAAAGGACGAGTAAGATGAGCAACGGGGATAAGTCGAGATGTCACTGTACGCGCTTGGAGCGACATACAGCCGAGCGATTTGAGCCGTGGGGAACGATCTGTACTCTGTAGATGGGATATGGCTTTCCAATTCCTATCTGGTCGTCCCACTTTTAGGGAGCAATTGGTACGGAGTATACTGTATGTAGCAATTTAAGATACAGAAGGGACGTATTGTGATTACCCTTATCAAAGACAAACGCCTGGGGCAGAAAAAAATGTCTCAGGTGACCCAACGGCTAACTGGTTACTGGCCCCCGCGGAGCCCGCTCAATCAATCCCTTTCACCCAGTCAAATGAAACTTATCAAACCTTGTAATCTCTAGCAAATGAGACCCCATGACGAGGCCTTGAGATGCAGCAGGGCAGATGTCTCATTTGTAGCGAGATTGCAGTACTGTCTGTAAAGTGGTCGTTCCTGAAATCCTCCTGGGTTGGACCGGCCAATTTGTACATAGCGTGAGATATATCGGTAGTTGATAGTCTATCGCAATTCATCAAATCGATGAACCTGATCACTTTTGTGGACGTACAGAAGCAGCTGGTACTGTAGTCTATAGTGGGAAAGAAAAATACCAGGCTTTACACGGCGAAAAAGAAAAACGTGCACAGACGAACTCCACCTTTTTCCAGGGACAAGTCTCCACTCCATGGAGAGCCATCTCCAAGTGCCTCAGTCCCTTGGTCCCTTGGTCCCCTACCGATCAGTGTACAGTACTACTCCATACCGAGCCATGTTCTTTTCGGTAATCTATGTGGGCTATCAGAAGCGTGGCTACTCCTGGATCGTCTCCCAAAGGGGTTAAGATAGACCGTGTTCCCTGGTTGTTTACCTCTAGCCGTTCTTTATGACGCCGCCGTACACTCTTGGAGACCCTTGCCCAAATCCCTCTGTCATTGATCGAAGGGTTCATCGACTTGGTCTTGTTCTGGTCGTAAGACCCGTGAAATACTCCATACACCCCCTCCTCCTCTTCCTCCTTCTCTCTCCTCTTCTTCAACATCTAGAAGCAGTGAACTTGGTTGCGCTTCCCACCTTCACTTGCGGCCTTTCGTTCCTCCCATTATTTTATTTTCTAATCTTCAACCCACAGTTCGCTCGTTTGTCTGTGGTCTTCTCTCTATCCCGTTACTTTTTCTTGTATATTCTGATTTCGCACATACCCACCCTCCCCTCAGTACATAATCTCACACAATGGTCCGTTTCGTGACTCCGCTCCTGGCCCTTTCGGCCCTCTCGGCCACCGCTCTTGCGGCTACCACCACTACCTGCAGCACCAGCAGCCAGTGCCCCGAGGACAAGCCTTGCTGCTCTCGTATGTTCAATCCTGCCCTTTGACCCGTTCCTTTGCGGAAGTCGCAAATTGACCCCACGCGACCGATTCAATCACTAACCTTTCTTGCGCGACACAGAGTATGGCGAGTGCGGTACCGGCGCATACTGTCTCGGTGGTTGCGACCCCCAATCCTCCTTCTCCATTGGCTCTTGCGCCCCGATGCCCGTCTGTGAGAGCAAGAGCTACACCTGGGATAACCTCGACAACACCGTCCTGAACACCAAGTACCTGGGCAATGCCAGCGCTGCCGACTGGACCTACAGCGGGTACCCCAAGACCGAGGATGGCAACCTGCTCATGACCATGCCCAAGAACTCCGTCGGTACTCTCTTCGCCAACAACCACTACATCTGGTACGGCAAGATTAGTGGCAAGATCAAGTCGTCCCGTGGCAAGGGTGTCGTGACCGCTTTCATCCTGCTCTCCGACGTCAAGGATGAGATTGATTACGAGTGGGTTGGTGCCGACTTGACTGCGGTTCAGACCAACTACTACTGGCAGGGTGTCCTCGACTGGCACAACAGCGGCAACGCCTCCGTCAGCGACCAGGATACCTTTGACAACTGGCACACCTACGAGATCGACTGGCAGCCCGATCAAACCCAGTGGATCGTCGACGGCGAGGTCAAGCGCACCCTGAAGAAGTCCGACACCTGGAACTCCACTGCCAACCGCTACCAGTACCCCCAGACCCCCTCTCGCCTGCAGATGTCGCTCTGGCCCGCCGGCCAGGCCAGCAACGCCCAGGGTACCATCGACTGGGCCGGTGGTGAGATTGACTGGGACAGCCAGGACATCAAGGAGAAGGGCTACTACTATGCTACCATCGGCCAGGTCGATGTCACTTGCTACTCCCCCCCCTCGGGCACCCAGCAGACCGGCAACAACTCTTACATCTACACCTCCGAGGCTGCCTTGGTTAACAACGTCGCCATCACTGATAACTCTACCATTCTCGGCTCCCTCGGTGCTACCGGTTTGGACATGACCCTCGGTGCCAACAGCAGCAGTGCCACCTCGACCAGCAGCGACAGCGTTCCCACCAACCACGGTGGTTCTGGTGGTATGGCCAGCAACAGCACGACCAGCTCGGGCTCTGACTCTGGCAGCTCCAGCGGCAGCTCCAGCTCCTCTTCTGCTACCAGCACTGGCTTCAGCCAGGGCACTGACACCACTACCAAGGACAACGGTGCCCCTGCTCAGGGTGAGCGTGTCCTCCGTGGCTCGCTCTTCGCAGTCCTCGTGGCCGTGGTCGTTCTGGTGACGCTGTAAATGTAACTTCATATGGGACTTTTTTGTGTGTGTGTGTGTGTGTACTTGTGTGTCAGAATACTTTTGCCATACGAGAAAATCTTATCCTTGAGATTTTCTGCTTTATTTCCCTCCAAACTTTTTCTACTACTCTTTCACGAGTAAAACTCCCCTTTTTGGGATCTTTGATCCTGCCTTCGCTTCTCAACTGTCTTTGACTGACTTTCTGATTCCCCCACAATGAAGAAAACACATCTTTTGGATCTTTTGTACCGTTTCTCGTTTTACGCTCTGCTCTGCTCTGTTCTACATCCTTTTGGATCTATCGATTCCCTTTAACGCCGTCCACATGTCCGAACTATCCTGCTTCTACTTCATGCTCGGCGTTTCTTTTTCTTCACCTAATGGATGATTTCGCTCGGTCTATTCGCCATTGTCATTTTTCTTTTCTCGGTCCGGCTGATTTCATGTCCGTCTCTGTATGCCCCGTTTGTCACAGCGATGAACCAACGCTCTTCCCTGGCACATGTTTGGAAATACCTAGCTCCACTCTAGGGATGGTCTGTAATGATGGGTGGTCCATAGTCATAGTCTCTCATAATTTATCTCATTCTCAATGTTCTGGTTTCTAGCTCGAAAGGGTACACAAAGGTATTCCTGTAATTTCGGGCAGATTGAGATGTAGATTTACCACCTCCATTCCTACTCTCATCATCTTGGCAAGACGTCTACTCAAGCTCTCGTATTCATGCAGGGGTGTCCGTTGGTAAGTTCGGTTGGTGGGTGTTCTCTGCAACGGACGGCCCGTCACGGGTTCGGCATGAAATCTTAACTCCCCTGCAGGAACCCGATGTACCGTATATTCTCCACAGTTTCACCCTGGTGTTCATCCTTCCACGTGGTCTGAAGAAGGGAACGCGCTTTAGAATGTAGTTTAGAAATAGGTCGGTGGAGGAGGATATGTGGGGAATGGTGCACGGATCGGACACGGTGTCTGGACGCCACTGACATAGTATAGTATAGTTCTGTGCTAAGGTCGGTATTTGATATTGTGTTCAAAAGGAGGCAGAAGCGTTTGAATGTAGATTAGTATCCTCACGCTTTGTGTTCTTGGTTTGTAGTCATGCCGAAAGATCTGTCGTGAAGGGTACTTGTAATGGCTTGTGTATATAAACCCTATAATCCCGAGATCGGGGTTAGTATAGGAGGTAAGGCATATAGGGAGTTCACCGTCAGACCGTGTTTTATGTTAGGATCTTGCGGTATGGATGTCGCAGTATCAAACGACCACATCGATGCCTAGCATTGCCTCGACGAAGCGGAAATCTCCAGACGTTGACAGTCCAGGATAGACAACTTGCCCAAGATTCACATCTCACTCTGGTATTCGAATCTTCAATAGATCACCATCGCGAGTCATCTTCTCCATCCACACAAGCAAGGCAAGACGCCAATTGTACGGTATATCCCCCTCTCTCCTCGATCCTCTATCACCACCCTCACCATGTCTATGAATCAAGTCTCCGATTCGCACCACAGCGGCAGACGTACCCTCCATCCATCCATCCATCCATCCCACAATGTGCCAATACGTTGGCATCTCCTACGTGGAATGCGGACACGTCCGCTTCCAACTCCACTGCTTCTGCCGCAAGATGCTCAACCAACTACAACGTATCAACGACCCCGAAGAGCGCGAGCAGTACGACCTCCCCTTCGACCCGGATCAGGCCCAGTGTGAGCCCTATGCGCTCTTTGATGAGAATGGCCGCCCCGTAACGAGACATGGACCCGGTTCGGGCAATGTGTTGTCGTGGGTGTTCAATCTTTCGGAGACGTGCCATGAGTGCGAGGTAATCGCGGCGGACCAGGAGCAGAGGCAGAATGAATACTTGGGGAATGAGGGCTGAGAATGAGTCGTTACGTGTTGATAAGAGGGATTTGCATTTCTGGTTCGTCGGTTTTGGGGTCAGGATTTTAGTTTTGCGACGTGCCTGAAAAATTGGAACCCTTTTCGCTTTTGAAATAAGCCTGATGCCTTTTTGTTTTCTCGTTTATATGAGTCCTTTCGGGCTGGATGGCTGTCCTTGGTTTCGCGTTGATATATCGATGTTTCTCGGCATATGCTATGGAGGTTTGAGTTGAGTGGGAGCGATGAAGGATTACGAATTAGACCGTATGGTTCGGTGCCCCCCGAGCAATAGTGACTGAATCGGTGAGAACCGGGGTAGTATAGTGAGAACGGAGATTTAGGCCGGTGAGATTTGGTCGCCGCCAGATAGAAAGTGTTGTGCTATCAGGATTGTTGTCGAGCTTAACGGTAAGACAAATCTGGGCCGAAGACTCGGCATGGTCGATCCAATGTCGAGCGTCATTCCTCAGTTCGGTCGCATTTTCAGAACTGCCGACCCGTAGGTGTGCCCCGAACAATAGTAACTGAGTCGGTTAGAATCGTTGTGGCATGGCGAGAACGGAGATTTGGGCCGGTTGGGTTTTGTCGCCGCCAGATATGAAGCGTCATACTGTCAGGATTCTTATCGAGCTTGACAGTGAGACATCTGGACTGAAGACTCCGCATGCTCGAACCAATGTCGAGCGTCATTTTTCAGTTCAATCGCAGATTCGGAATCTCCAACCTCAAGAATCACTGTGCGATTTTGGATGTTTGGTGCACTTTGGTTGTTTGGCAGACTCTGGTCTATTTAGCCTAACGATAGAAATTCCTAAAAATTCAGGAGTTCACAATATATGGATTGATTGATTGCTTCTCAGACTATACACTATCAGTACAGAATGCCACAATCTAATCTAGTCCAATAATATGATATGAGTTTATGAAGTGAGTATGAGATAGCGCCAAATCAGCCACAACGCCAATGTGATAGAACATAGAGGGTAACCCGAGAGAAGATGACCCCAAAATCAGGGTATAATGAACATGCAGGATATGCAAGATAAACCAAATGGTCTAATGGACTGCGCCACAGCCGCAGTCATCAAGGGATCGTTTCTTAAAATCGCCATGGTAGGTGTCAAGACCCTCGACTCGCACGGAGGAGCCGACAGGATCACCCATCCAGTTGTACTTCTCCTGGGTAGCGGATTCCTCGCCGGATACAGTCCAGTAGGCGGCGGACTGGAGGCGCTTGGTGACGGCGTCGACGTCGAGAGCCAGGTAGTTGGCCAAGAAGGCACCTACGTCTGTGTTCTCGTTGTTTCCGACCAAGGGCCAGGCATCCTTGCTAGATGATGCGTATATGTTAACATCGGCAGCTGTGTCGGCAGTGTTAGCATGACGATACGGTACTTAGTAGATAGTTGAGAGAGCTTGACTAACCAGAGTGACCGTGAGTAGACCAGCCAATTTGCGCACGACGACTGATCATGTCTGCAAAGAGATACTGAGGAGACACACCGGCCTCTGGGTGGAGCAGAGCATTGACCTCCTCGTCCGTAGCATCACTGATACCAAAGTCCTTCTCCAACAGGATATCTCGAATATACGCCTTCTTCTTTGAGTCATCATCATTTTTACCAGCTTCGGCGAGATGATTGCTCAGCTTAGCAGCGACGTACTCGCTAGAGTGTTCCGCATTAGCCAGAACACGGGGCAGCCAGAGATACTCGGGGTAGGAAGTATGGAGCTGGCGAGCAGCGGCCAGGCCACCAGTCTCATGGTCAGACGTGCTGACAAGAACACCCGGTGTCTCATCCTTCTCAAGGAAGTCGAGGACGGCAGCAAAGGCCTTGTCAAAGGCAATGACTTCATGAACCTGCGCGGCAGGGTCATTTCCATGACCAGCATGGTCAATGCGGGAACCCTCGATCATAAGGAAGAAACCCTGTTCACTGTCCCGGGTGGCCTCGCTAAGCGTAGTCAAAGCAGTGCGAGCCATCTCCTCCAAGGAGGGATAAACGTCGTTCTGGGAGCGACGGTCGATCTCAAAAGGAATATCCTTCTCGGCGAAGAGACCCATCAGAGGGAGCTTGGCCGCGGTACCACCGTTCAGGGCATCAAAGGCAACTCGGTCCTGCAAGTAGTGGAATCCATTCTGGGATGCAAGATCGATAATGTCTCGGTCATCGCCACGGCAGCTTCCCTCTGTGGAATTGGGTAGGAAATGGCATCGTCCACCACCCAAGATCAGGTCAACAACCCTACCCAGAGGATGTTCACCAGCCTCTTGCTCCGCAATGCTGTCCTCGTACTGACGCAGATTGGCATGTGAAGCAAAGCATGCCGGAGTGGCATCCGTGATGCGAGTCGTGACGACCAGTCCAGTATGATACCCAGCCAGTTTAGCGGCCTCGAGCACGGTACCGCAAGGAGTGTGGTCCGGGAGCACGGAAATGGCTCCATTGTAGCTCTTGTGCGCGCAGGAGAACGCCGTTGCACCGGCCGCCGAGTCCGTCACCAGGCTGTTACTTGACCGTGTCCGGGACTGACCAATGTGGTGCTTGTCCAAGACCAAGATGTCATCGATAGGTAGTCCCTCCGTCAACTGCCGGAAACTTCTCGTCATGGATAGACTGGTCGGCCCCATGCCATCAGACACCATGAAGATCAAATTGCGCTTGCCAGTCGGCTTGCCGTCGGGACCCCAGACATCCTTGTGGGTAGCACGCTGGTTCTTGGCAGCCTCATGCTGATACACCACAGCGAGCACAATCACCAAAATGGTTGCGATAGCCGCCCAAGCAAATGTCCCAACCTGTCCCCAGAAGCCCAAGCCCCGGCGTGGTTCGTCACGGCGACTCGTCCGCTCGCCGGTCAGGAGGGCATCTTCTTCTTCGGCGTTTCGAATAGAGGAGCGGTCGGAGGAAGGGCGTGGAGCCAGAAGCGGCTCATCTCCCGCCATGGTTGTATTGGTATGAATCGAGTCGAGATGAGTTCAGGTACGGAGTGCGTAGCTGAACTTCCCCGAGTGGTTAAGTGGAGTCGGAAGCGGAAGAGGGGACGGGGCTGGGCTAAGGGAAGATAAGATAGGGCGTTCACATGACCAGACCCCTAACATGTCCAAAAGGAGTAATCGTATACGAGAGTCAGATACTATTTTATGAAGAATGTAGAGTAGATAATAATGTAGACTAAAGGAGCCTCAATTTTCCGTTTCTTTGCATCGTCCTAATTCGCAACTAGTAGCACTGCCACTTGGAATTATGACCGACCCTTCCACCCGATGGGAATTAGCGCTGCCGCGATCTCGGAGACTCCGCGCTCTGTGGCCAACAGGTTGAACTGCGCCGCCGCATTCCGAGTATCCTGAATCTCCACACGGATGCCTAGCGAGTTGATATGACGCTTGGTCTCTGGCGAGAGGGGATACATACCGCCACCCAAACCGAGGATAAGCAAGTCTACCGGAGACAAGAAACCATTAGCAAGCTGAACCGACCCCAAAACAAGTAGTTTCGAGTGTAGTAAAACGGCCATATGACCCATTACCCCCATTCCACGAGGTCTCATGACCACAGCACGGGAGGAAAAAAGAAAGGGCAAAAATCAAGAACAAGCAGAAAGAAGGGGAGAAAAGGGAAACGAAATTACGTACCAGGACGGGGCCACACTACGCTCAACAATCCCCAAGCCTGCTCGTCCAGTTCAAATTGGCCCTTGGCGTTAATCATAGACGCCTTGGCTGCGCGGTCATCCTCTGCGCCCTGAATGGCCTTCCAAGGCCGCCAAGAGAACGCTTCTCCGCCAACGAGCAAGAGAGCATCGCCACCGGTAATTTTAACGCCGCTATTCAGGTGGAACCCCGAGTCCAGGCAGGCGTCGATTGCCGTGCTCGGTATGGGGGTGTTACCAAGGACGTCCAGTGCGCCAAAGTCTGTCTGAGTATCTTCCTGTGACTCAGGGCCACGGTCATGGCTGGTGGGCTTGTGTGTATGAGAGCGAGGGATCATGCGAGTCGGGCGGATTGGGGTACTGTAGCTGCGCTGAGTTGATACGGTGTTGAGAGGCGTAAGGGCGCGCGGGAAGCGGGTGGCGCTGCGCAGAGCGCCGGAGCCCGAGGCGCTCACGAGAGAGGAGCGCATGGCGCGGAGCAGTTGGGGTGATGGTGAATGCATTGCAAGTAGCGAGGATGTTTCTGATGTGAAGAGTGATGCGTTGGCGCGATTGAGTAGGCGATTCGAAGGATTCGAGTGAAGATGTCGGTGCTATCGATAAGCTTGCCGCGATCTTGGCACGTCGAGCTACATCGCTACATCATCGTACCCTTGGAAGGACGATATCACCCGACTCAGGTTAGGCACAGTCTAGTCTACTATAGCTGTGGAAGATCCATGTGCTTAATACCGTTGGTCTCAAAGCCAGCTATTTTCTACTGAGGTCATGGCGAAAACACGTTGAATCCCACGCCTTCAGGACAAATCTAAGTACCACTTTATACACGTCTTCGACGATGCGCACCCTGCTCTGTTTGAAAAAAGTCCTTTTGTATTAAATATAATCCGTCCCGGCGGCCCTAGTGATTAATCTAGTGTTTTATTTCCGGAAACCCCAAAACCGCGACCAAGTGCACCTCGGGTTGCATATGAAACAAGGACAAGGCAATAATGAACTTCACTCGTGCGCATCGTAAAGCCCCAAACTCCTGTAAACGCAATGAAAGGAATGCGATAGAAAATCGAATGCTGGAAAGAAGGGAAAGGGAAAAGAAAGGCAGACCCTGCATCGGTAAGGAGGAGAGGAAGAAGCAGAAGGGACCCGAAAAGATAAACGAGAGGGGAGACAAGAGAAAAAAGAAAAGAAGGCCAAGGCAAACACAAAAAAGAACCCCACATCTCTTGCCGTCCCTGCTGTTCTCCGTTCATATTAACCCCTCCCCCGTCTTGCTTTTTGGCGTTGATGTTGAAGAAAAGAAAGTTATGAGAAGAGATAGCTTATGCACACGTCGAGAGGTGGAAAATGGGAGAGAACCATGGGGGGGAGTTAGAGTTTGCCTGTACAGGACGTCCAAGACTGAAGAAGGTTTAGTGGGCGGCACGACGAGTGCGGTTGCGGTCCTCGTCGGATTGACTGGAACTGTCATCACTATGAGTGGCGTTGCGAATGCGCTCGGCACGGTCTTGCAAAACTTGGGCTTCAGCAGCAGCCTTCTGAGCTCGGATCTGCTTGCGCCACATGCTGGCATAGCGGCCCTTGAGAAGCAGTAGTTCCTCGTGCGTGCCGCTCTCGGCCACCTGACCGTCAGCCAGAACCAGGATTCGGTCAGCGGTAGTGATGGTGCTGAGGCGATGGGCAATCACGAGCATAGTACGGCCGTGCGAGAGGGTCGAAAGAGCCCTCTGAATGTGCTCTTCCGTGTCAGTGTCCAGAGCTGCGGTGGCCTCGTCAAGAAGAATGATTCGAGGGTTCTTCAGGATGGTGCGTGCGATTGCGACACGCTGTTTCTCGCCACCACTCAAACGTAAGCCGCGCTCGCCAACCTTCGTGTTGTACCCATCAGGGAACGCCAGAATCTTGTCGTGGATACTGGCGGCCCGGCAGGCCTCGTAGACATCCTCATCAGTGGCTGCCTGGTTGGCGTACTTCAAGTTGTACATTAAGGTCTCGTTAAAGAGTACGGTATCCTGAGGAACCACACCAATGTGCCTCCGCAGAGAGTCAATTGTGATATCTGAAACGTCACGACCATCGACTGTGAGAGATCCCTTCTCGGCATTATAGAATCGGAAAAGCAGGCGGAAGACCGTTGATTTGCCTCCACCAGATTCGCCAACTAAGGCAGTCGTGGTACCGGGTTCACAACGGAAAGTTAGCCCGTTCAGGGCTGGTTTCCGTTTATCATAGGAGAACTCCACGCCCTGGAACTTGATGTCGCCCTTGCACATGATCAAAGGAGTAGCAGAAGGGCTGTCAACCACCGTTGGCTGCTCCCGGAACAATTCAAGCATACGCTCGGCATTGATCAGCGCAGATTGAATAGAACGGTAGAAGGTGCCGAAGAAGTTCAATGGGCCCTGGAGCTGGGCCATGTAAGTCAACAGGGTGACAAATTGACCGACTTTGCGCTGGCCGGCGGAAACTTGGTACGCAGCAATGAAACAGGTGAGTAGCAGGCCCATCATAAATACTGTATTTTGACAGGTGTTGAGAAGCGTCAAAGAGAAGAGAACATGGTACTCGGCCTTTTGGAACTCGCCCACGGCATCGCGGTAGCGTTGGAACTCGTATTGTTCTGCGTTGAAATACTTGACTGTCTCGTACGAGACCATCGAGTCGTTCCTAGAAGAAAATACTGATTAGTTATGTTGCTCATAGCTTTCAAGATATCACTTCACTTTTATGGGCCACTTACTTCACGGCATCTTCTTGACGTGATGCATTCACCATTTGTCTTCTGATTTCTGCTCTCCATTGAGCCATGCGAATAGTAACGTAAAGATAGCCGAATGTCGAGATACCAACGACGAGTGCATAGTATGCATCGAATGCAACAACGAAGTACCCAAATGCAATGACCAAATCAATTAACATCGGAACCACCTGGAAAGTTACCTGCTCCAGGAATGTATTGATAGAGCTACCCTTGCTTAGAGCAGAAAGCACTTCACCAGTCTTCTTTCCGAGATGGAAATCCAAGCTGAGACCGTGCACATGCTCAAAGGCGGCATTGGAGAGCTCCATGTAAGAATACTGACTGACAGGAATCCACAGACTGGAGCGCATGGAACTGAGAAGACCCTGGCCACCCTGCAGCCACCGGAGAATCACATACAGCAATATTTCGAGCCAGGGAACGCGGAATTCCTTCCCTTCCTCGTTGGCCAAGATAGTGATGATGTCTCCCACCTTGTTGGGTACCATTACGTTCACAATTCGCTGGAGAACGAGCAGAATGAAGCAAAGTACCACAACAATTTGCAGACGGCGGGACTTGGACGGCCACAGGTAGGGAAAAAAGAGCGAGTAGCCGCTCAGATACTCCCACCAACTCGTGGAAGGAATGGTCGTCGGGCGAACCCAAGGGTCTGGCTGTGGCTTGGTCGTTTCGCCCGACGAACCATTGGTCGCACCATAGGCATGGCCATTGGCGTTTCCATTACCGTTCTCTGCAGCTGCGGCATCCAAAAGTCCAGTGGACTCGCTAACGCCGCCGTTTGTACGGTGCCCGTCCTTCGGGCCCTGGCTCTTCCAAGTGATTGACTTGCTGGCGTACAGAACAACGAGAGCCAGCAGAATCATTACGCGGAGGCTGTTTGACGCCACTTCAGAATATTCCCAGGGAGTAATAGTTTTGCGAAGCTTGCCGCCTTCGGGATCGCCAACGACCGGCTCATGGTGAGGCGAAGTGTAAAGTGAGAGAGAGGTGCTAAGAATAACGAGTTCGAGGGGAATGGCGGCAAGCCAACACACGAATTGAGCGGCTGTCGGAGACGGGCTGGTGTCGAGCAGTGTCATCAACAAGACGGCGTAGAAGAAGAAGGAACCGACGATATAGATCTATGAGAACCCCCACTGATTAGCTTGCTTTCTTTTTCTCCGGGCCTTACAATGGCCACCACTCGACGGTCCCACTCCACAATTTTCCTAGGAAATACGTACAACTGCAGACTGACCTCGCCACCAATGCTCGGATCGGGCCAACATGACATGGAGAATGTAGATCGTCGCATCAATCAGGTAGGTGACGAGTACGACCACCGAAAACCAATTGAAGAAGCGTTTGACGGTGGGAGAAAACTCCTTGGTTTTCCGAGCAGGAGCTGCACTGCGGCATCGCTTGGGGAGTGGTCGTCCCCCAGGACCCATGCGAACAGTTTCATTGTTGCTCGCCCTGCTCGCAGTGACCATCGTGTTGACTATGAAGGCCACCGCAAAGAGGCACAGCAGGAAGATCGGGTAGCATGTACGCAGGTACTCCAGCAGCTCGCGAGCTGCCTGGGGATCCATGATGAACCGGGGTCCTCCCACGAATATCCGACCAAAAAAGGAAGAATCAATCAATTTCCATGACACGGCGGTGTGTCCCCGACGTTCCGCAAGAAAAGGGGAAAGAGAGTGAGGGCGAGGGAGGTGGCAGAGGCGGGGAGAGAGAAGAAGGTGGGGAGAGCGCGCGAGAGAGAGAGATCGAGCGAGAACTGGAGGGAAGAGCGGAAACGACAGTCGAACGGGTGTGGCCCAGTAGTGATCGACGTTGAGGAATGATCAAGCGGCCGGACGCGGGGGATGTGCGGCGTGTTGTCTGTCCACGAGGATCGGAGCTTTAGAATACGTTGCTCTAGGAGATCTAAGCTTTGACAAATCAACACCAAGGATATATTGCTTTTTTTTTTCTTTTGCCCACTGATCAGAGGGGTGAGGGGTTGGATTTCTGGAGTGTTCCGATCGAACGGAGATTCGAGAACGGAAGGGAGGCAAAAACGCGCAGCGGAGAAGGTTTGGAGGGGAAGTTCACAGCCCCAACTGACCTCCCAGTGGCAAATCATGCGCCTGAAAACGACATGAGGATAGGGCATGACCTACGAACCAGATTTCGGGTACTCCGAAGGATTTCAGCTGCCCCGGAGATGGGCAATGGGAAGACCGGAGGTCGGAGACAGGAAAAAGCTGGGAATGGATTTGATGTTGGAATGACGGTGTGGTATGCACTGTGCTGCAGCTAAAACGGGATCCACTGCTTCGGAGTTTGGGAGAATCGTCCAGATCTTCAAAGCAGATTAGTCAATTAGGGCATGTCACCTTAGAAGAAGAAGAGTACGTACTGTAGTAGTCGTGGCAGAACCAGAGCTTCTTATATCAAAGCTCGTTCTTATCTAGACAGAGACCAGGCCCGGAAGGCGATCTCAATATTTGGGATATCTGGCTACTCTCAATTTTAATTTGCCGATCGAGTCCGTGATGTTTGCGTGGCAAACTGTCGGTGCAGAGTATAGGTTCCGAAATAAAGAGTGGTTCGTGCCCGACCGGGGTAGATTGCAAAGGGGCCAAAGCAACAGGGATCAAGCCTAGGATGAGAGTTTAGAATTGAAATGTATCCAGTTGGCCTCGCTTCCTCCGGGGCAGCTTCCATTTATATAAAGATCGGTACGAATCTGGAGAATCGATAGCTACGGAGACCTACGTCTACGTCTATGAAACCTAGTATATACCCTGTTAGGCTGGCTGGTCCCCCACGCATGGCCATGCTTCAGCCAACGCCAACCGGGATTTGAATGACTACTGGCACGTCGCAATGGGGAAAATAAATAACAGAAAAAAAAAAGTACTATACCGGTGGTCCAGAAGCTAATAAAATGACAGGTATCGCCGTCACTCTTTACAAGTGGTGTGGGGGGAAACTAGTAAGACGATCATATATATAGAACTCCGATGCTACGGACGAGTCACACCGGGGATTTGAGGGTGGAATTATGCTATGACCCTATAAGCATCATTACAATCCAATCTGTGGTGTCAATCCACACAAGGTGATAGGGTATGTATCACTTATTATATGTAAATCATATTCTATCTTGTACTATAGTGCATCACATAAACATTGTCATCGTCATCGCGGCCCATTCAAGACACGAGGAGAACCGATCGCGTACCACGGTACTGTCAGATTCTGAAGAATTATCTAATGACTACCGTATGTCTATCAAAATGTTTGCAGATACATGTGTGTATAACGGACGATGATCTAGTGCACCGACCGACCGGGTTTCCTTTGATCTCCTATTCCAAGGCACAGTTCCTCGGGGATCAGATGGTGTTTCTTTCCCATGGATGGGGTGCCCGGACCCTCTCAGCCAACGATCTAGATTGTCTTCGATTGCATTTAGATTGTCCTCACGCGCTAAGACGTCTAGGATGTGCGACCCTCCCCTCCACCTCCTTCTTTTAGCGACCACCCCAGCGCTGCGATTAGCTTACTTGATAACCTGATTAGCCGTGCCCGATCCCCTTTCCCCCCAAACTACTCTTTTAGCTTCGACGCTCATGAGTCCCAGGGACGACTCAGCGCAATCGCTTGGACCGTCCGAGTTCGAATCGAGACCATTGCGAGATTTCTCAAGTCCAGGTCGCCTCCAGCTCCCCCGTTCTAGACTCGCGACTTGTAGGTCAAGTTTTAGTTCTCTATATGGTAGTCAGAGCTGTAGGCAGGGCCATACAATTGATTGGACTCCCGTCTTTCCGGCTTGAGCTGAGACATTGCTTTCTATTTTTTTTTAAAAATTATGTTTTCTCCTGTGGAGAGGTGGGCCTATTCTTTCTTCACTTTTGATGCCTCACCAGGAAATCTGCTTTTGCGTTGCTTGCTTTCTTGAAGCTCAGCGACCGGTGAGGATAGGATGGGATGATCTCCGGACGGAGTGCCGGGAAGCCCAATCTGCAGTGGATTGTGCAATTTCAAAATCGTATCTCTCATGGTGTGTTGGCGTCCAGACCGCTCTTGACATGTGGACAAGTCGGGTCCTTTGAAGCGTTGAAGATGGGAGGAGACACATCCTCCGGAACAAAGTACGGAGTACCTACGGGCGGTGGAGGAGTCGAGGTCGATCGGGGGAAGAAGTTCTACATACAGAGTACTAAGGTTAGGTCTTGCATTTTCCCGAACCCTATAAGGTTGCCCAATTAATGTCTAGAGTGTCCGCTCTAACGTAGGGCCGCCCGTGGTTTCTGTATATACCCTCGGAAGAGGGACTTGAATCCGCAAGATCATGATGGACAGAACCCGCTTATCGGTCACTTAGCAAAGTACACCTGACGTAACTGATTGCCATCTGAGCTACAGCTCCCATCACCATGTCTATCTTTCCTATACTTTTCCTTGCTCATATGCATCCTGCTTCGTATATCAGATGTAGTGGCTGCCTCAGGAACCCATCCAGCGCCGGAGTCTTCACCGCTTGCGTAACCACCCCCCAAAACAACCTTTACTCCATAGACAACCCACAGCCCCCTCCACGACACGCCGCAACTCTCCAACCCCCCACCACCTTTACACCATTCGGTTAACTGGTCGTGTGCTCGCAATGGAGTGAGAAACCATGTCGGACCTCTCTGGGTCACGCTCTCCCATCCCTCCTCCCCCGCCACCGCCTACCAAGTACTCACATCGGGCTGCCAACGCGTTCGCCCGCTTCGCCCAGCCCTTCTTCTCCGGGTCGAGACCCCCCAGTCCGCAAAATAGCCGAGTCGATGGCCCCCGGCCGATCAGGTCCAAATCACTGTATGTACTGCATATCTTCTCACACCGCTTCCTTTCAAATTAGGCAAATGACCTTAAGGAAGCAAGTGAGGCCATTTGGAACATTCTTCATGGTTACTACTGCCCTTTCACCCCTCCATCTTAATTGCCCCCTACCTCCCTGTCCTTTACCCCAGATCGGTCTACAATTCCAGATCGAGCCACAATGACACACCTCTCTCTAACGTCACCAGGCCTGGTGAGCCGCAGACCGTCACCCACCGGACCGGCATCCCTATTACTGCTCTAGATATCTCACCGCAGAGAACGCACGCGGTCATCGGAGGCAAGGAGATACTCAAAACCATCCGAGTTTCACCAGATCATTCCTCGGAGGAATTCAATATTCGCAATGCGGTCATCAGCTATGCGTCCACTCATCACGAGTCCGGCGCATCGATGCCGCACAAGGACCAGTTGAACGTGAGGGATGTCAAGTGGTCACATGGCAATTACGACCGGATAATCGCAACGGCGGTCGCCAATGGTCGGATTGTCGTCTACGACCTGCAGCGGCCCGGCCTCCAATTATGTCGCTTCCAGGGCCACAACCGCCAGGTTCACAAACTTGCCTTCAACCCTCATCTCGCATCTTGGCTGTTGTCCGGCAGTCAAGATGGCTCGATTCGAATGTGGGATCTGCGTTCCGCCTCCGCGAATCGGAGCCCTTCCACGTGCGGCAGCAAGCATGTATACCAGGGCAACAGCGATGCGATCCGGGACGTCCGGTGGTCCCCCACCGACGGTGTCGTCTTTGCGACTGCCTCGGACAGCGGCGTCATCCAGATGTGGGATTCGCGCAAGACCAACGCCCCCTTGTTGCGTCTTGCGGCTCATGAACGGCCTTGTTTCGCCGTCGACTGGCACCCCGACGGGAAACACATTGTGAGTGGAGGTACGGACCGGCTGGTCAAGGTCTGGGACTTTTCACCGTCTGCAGAGCGACGGCAGAAACCTGCGTTCGTGTTCCGAACTCCCCAGGCCATCACCAATGTTCGGTGGCGACCGCCGTCATGGGTGGGTGACTCCCCCAGTTCGGGTCAGTGGCAGTCATGCCAGGTTGTGACCACCTATGACAAAGAAGATCCTCGGATTCACCTCTGGGATCTTCGACGGCCCTATATCCCCTTTCGTGAGTTTGATCGGTATGATGTGCCGGCAAGCGATCTGCTCTGGCATTCCAAAGATCTGCTCTGGACGGTTGGTGAGGCCGGGGCATTCACTCAGACCGACGTTCGCTATGCCCCAGCTGTGATTAACCGCCGGCCGATGTGCTCCGTGGCCTGGAGTCCCATTGGAGATTTCGTAGCATTCGCCCAGTCTCGACCCAGACGACGTGCTTTGGGGCCAGACGCCTCAGAATTCCTCCGTGTTGACGGAGACCGGATCAGTACTGGTGACAAGTCCCTTAGTCAGAGTCCAGGCGACGATGTCCTGGATGAAGTGGTCCTAGCTTCGTCGTTCCGGCCGCGACAGACCAAGTCGACGACCGTCCGACCTTCAAAATCCCTGGGTAGCACCCCGCCTGGTGGAATTGATATCATTCCCGTTTTACCCTTGGATGAAGCTCTAGCCAAGATTGCCCTCCCTACCCCTAGTCAGCTGGGAGCATCTGGGGCCATACCTGGTGCTACCAACGATCCGTCCGTATTTCGGTTCTTGGCAAACCATTACTCATCGTTGATGAATGAAGATGCTCAAACGCAAAGTCATACCGAAGTTCTTAGTTCATTGATGGATTCGCTCGACCAGAATGCGGAATGTGCAGACACCTTGTCCTTGACAAAGTTGGCACAGACGTGGCGGATCGTCAAATTTGCCATCCTCCAAGAACTCCAGCGAAGGTCAAGGGAGAATGCTTCTGGCAAGGAAGGGATTAAAGGCAAAACTTCCAAGGATGGCTTCCTATTCGACAAACTGCGTGCAGCCGAGGAGGGCCGCCCGGGCAAGGTGAAGAGCCGGTTGTTTAAGGGAGTCATCGAGACCGAGGGTCAAAGAGGACTTATCCACGAAGCTGAGAGCACGTCGAACATGACCACTCCCCTTGCACAGCCGTTGCCTGATTCCCCGCAGGAGTCCTGGGGAAGTAGCACAGACTCGCAGATTCCCTCCGTCAACGAGAATGCGATCGATCTTGATCCCCTTCCACCCTCGGTTCTAGGCTCGCAGAATGGCTGGAGTATAGCCTCGGATGTATCCGACGTTCGTTCTATTCATCATCCCTTGCGCTTGACCCAGGAGCAATCAGTATCGAGCATTGACACCCATCTATCCACAGCTGCGCTGCCTCAGCGTTTGCGGGATCCATTGCAGCCTGATCTCGATGATGAACAGAGATCAGCACCTCGGGCGATTGCAGGCCGATCTGACTGGCGCACTCGCAGTCATCCAGACTTTCCTCCTGGGGCTTCTGAGGATGATTACGACCAGAAGCTGGAAGATAAGCGGGCTGCCATTAGTAATTACAAACAGACCCCAAAGAAGGTCCTGACGCTGGAGTCTCCAATGGACTCTAATTGTCCCCCCATTGATCGCTACAATCGGCACGACTCTACCGAAAGCTTTCCCATGTTCTCTGCCTCTACAGACAGTTCTCATCCTTCCAAGTCAGTCGCGGCATCCTACTCGTCGAATGGGCGGCTTTCAGATGCTCGCATGTCGGATGGTGGCCAGGCTGGCTCACATACTACAGGTCGGCCTGCGGCAGCTGTACGGCGAGAATCCAATTTGGAACCCTCCCTAGAGGAACCGGAGGATGATTTGGATCTTGAAGAGTCGAATCTTGAAGCTGACCAAGAAGTCCATCTCGAGCGACCCTCGACCCCACCCCCATTGTTGAAAGAATCAACTCCGCTTGAACAGCTGGGCACGGAGAATGGACTGAACCCCTCTTCTGTCAACGGGGTTGCCCGCTTGTCAGCCTACCCGGGGATAGCAGGTATTTACGAAGACTTGTCTCACGTCAAGCTCCCTCTGATTTCGGACGCAACGGATCTCACGCCATGGAGTATCGAGGCTCTCATGAAAGAGGCAGTTCGTTATTATCACAGTACCAGCAGCGCCGTCGATGTTCAAACAGCCGCACACCTGCTTCAGAAACTGCATGTCCTCTTCCAGGATTGCGAGAACATCCTCCCATACGAGGAGTGTGAACTAGTTCTCAAAACCTACAACGAACAACTTATTAGACACTCGATGGATCTGGAAGCTGCAGAGCTCCGTCTATCTTGCGTGCCAATCTATCCCGGCGTCTACGACTACGCTCAAGCAGACACCTTTATCAATGTCTTTTGCTACACATGCCAAAGACCCTTTGAAAACCCTCGCCGCGATAACACCCGATGTCACCGCTGTAACACGCCTCAAGCACCATGCTCAATATGTATGAGCCTCGACCCACCCCCCGAATGGGTCGCTGCACAGCGTGACGCCCCCTCCTCTCCTGGCCACACAAGCTCAGACCTAGACGCCGAAACGTTATCCCGTCTCTCAGACCAATCCGCCGCAACCGAGCCCGTTTCAGGATCTGAGCTCGATTGCTTCACGACACCCAGACCTAAAGGTGCCTCGCTATGGTCCTGGTGCCAAGGCTGCGGCCACGGCGGCCATGTAGCCTGCATGTCAACATGGCTGGGCGACTTGTCCATGAGCGAAGGCGGCTGCGCTACACCAGGCTGCTCACACGACTGCGGTCCCGGCCCGCGCCGTGAACTCAACCGGCAGATGCTCATGATCGAGACCAAACGCCGTGACTCGGCCAGTCGCTCTGCAGGCGTGGGCGTCGTCAAGCACGATCCGTGGACCAAGGGCGAGAGCAAGGCCGTGCAGAAGGTGCGCGGAATGCTAGGCGCTGCGGGCGTTGCGGCTGCGACTGGCGGTGGAGGGGCTAGCGCCGGACAGGCGTCTGGTGCGGTGTCGCCGAAGAAGGTGCGGCTCGTTACCCCTGTTGAACAGGGTAGGCGAAAAGGTACTGCTGGTCGGTCTGGTACTGCGCCAGAGTAGATAAAGATCTGTAGAACGTCTTGCGCGTTCAGTTCAACTTTGTACAACTCTTTTTATTCTTACTTGATGGCACTCGATGTCATCTATGTGCTATTTAGCGGGTGTTTTGGATACCCAAATATGATTCCCCAATGTTAAATCCATCCTATCGTCGAATTTCATACTTCAATATAACTCATTCAGGTCATCATATATCCGGGAAAAAGATTATGTGCTAGATGTGTTCCTCAAAACCTCCGCTTCTTCTTCGCAGGCGCCTTACTCTTCGCTTCCAACTGCCGCTTAAGCTCCTCCCGCTTACGATCAGCTCGTTGCGCCTCGGTTTCTTCAGGAGCCGGTGCTGCACTTGGTGCTTGGACTGGCAGTGACGGCTCTCGGGATTCCCTTTTGGGCGGTACCCGGTCTGTGGCTGGTTGCATGGGGGCTGGAGATGATCCACGGGTCTTTCGCTCAGGTGAAGGGCCCACAGCCGGAGACTCCTCTTGAACAGGTGGTGTCTTGGTAGGAGTCGCTGCTTTCGTTTTTGCCTTGCCGCCTATCATTCCCAGCCTTGTAGACTTTTTGGTTTTGGCTGGTGATGCGATGGTTGACGTATGATCCTCGGAATGTATGGAGGGTTGTTTGGGCGGTGGTGAAGGGGCACTCTCAGGTTGAGGCTCTGGTTCTGCTGCCTTCTTCTTGCCTCCAATCACGCCGAGGCCCTTTTTGGGCTTGCTGGGAGGCTCTTTAGATGGCATGTCTGGCGCAGTGGGTTCAAGAGGAGGTGAAGCTGCCGGTGTACGTCTTCGTCGAGTCGGAGGTGAAAGCTCGGGTTCCAGTTCAGGCTCATGCTCGGATTCGGTTGCTGTCCCATCGTTTGTATGCGCTGGTTGGGGCGGTGGTGATAGACTCTTCTTTTTGGCCTCTTGTTTCGGTGGGGGTATCGCGGATTCAGTCTCTTGTACCCTCTGTCGAGGGATGACTTCTTGTTGCTGGAGATTCGGTTAGAATTAGGAACTTGACGCTAGCGAAAGGAGGGTAGTTTTCAACGAACCTCAAACTCATCAATGTCACTTTCCGATGCTGTGTCCTCGTCCAGGTCTACGTCACACTGTGGTTCAACAGGCTTGATTTTGCTTTGGGATGTAGAAGGCTTCTTTGGTTCCTCCTCTCGAAAAGAAGTGGTCTCGGGATGGCTTTGGAGACCACTCCACCACTTCTCTTGCGACGGGCGAAGTCTCTCAAGATCGAGGCCCCTGCCTGATCCTGTGAACTCATGAACGAGGTTGAAAGCTACCTTGGTGCCGGAGGAAGAGCCTGCAGATTCGGCGAGCCAAGTATGCTCATCAAACGGCGCAACACCTTTGATGAACTTGGCAGCCTCAGATCTCGAGCTGCCCTTTCGAGCGGTGCGCATGCCAGCTGCACCAGGAAAAACAGTTCCTAGATCTGCTCCTAGTGCTTCAAATCTATCAAACAGCTTCCCTAGCACCCAGTCCTTCTGCTTGAGCTGATCAAGTAAGGATCGCTGACGGGATTCCCAGGTTGCCTCGCCTCGTAACAGGGGCAGAATTACATTTGTGGTCATAGAGGACGCAGGCTCTTTGAATACCCGAAGCGTCCATTTGAGCGGTCTCAAAGGAGCGGGCAACTTGGTGGTCGTTTTGAGTTCGAGAGAATCCGGAGTGGTAACCGTGTTTATTGTTGTCGCAGTGCCCCCGTCGCCACGAAGAGCTTCTCCGATCTTGGTGAGTAGAAGATCAAGCTGGTCCAAACCCTCACTAGGATCAATCGTGGTGGCGCTCTCATCCGCTCGCTTCAAAATCTCTTTAAGAGACAGTCGTTCAGACCAGATGGAGGTCAAGTCCGTCACGTACAGCTCGTAGCCTTGGCGGGTCCATGTGTACTGACACAGCAGCGGAGGCACATCTTCTTGCGATAACCGTAATCTGCGCCATTCTGTGGCCATGACTTAAGAATGTTCTTTTCCTCTGTCGCAGCTCACTTCGATATTACCCCGTTGTGATGAGGAGGAGCTCGTGCGGATGCGGAGAGCTGCCTGGTTTGGAGCCGCAAAGGAAAGGCAGCCCGCACGCTTGACTTTCCGCCGATCTCCCGAAGCACTTTTCATCCACGCGACGTCAACCCAACCACAGCCTTGTTCCACACACACACCGGCCCCCTTCAGTTCTTCTTTCACCTGAACGGTTGCTATTTTAAAGTCAGATAGAATGTCCTCGCGAATCCCGGACCGCTCGGGTCCGCGGCGCAGCCGGTCGCGATCCCCGTCGTCCTGGCGTCAACCCCAGAATCGCCCCCGCAATGAACGAGATTATCGCGACCGACAGGATTCAAATCGGGGGTGGGATAATGGGAATTCGCGCGGCCCTGGTCCATCGCGGGATATGCGCGACCAAGTTCGCCTCAACCAGCTCCAAGAGGACGAACAAGCGCGTGCGTGGGTTGCGCAGGAGGACATATTTGTGCTCAAGCAGGCCAAGAAAAAGGCAGAGATTCGAGTCAAGGAAGGGCGTGCAAAACCCATTGACTGGCTGACTGTCACACTGCGTGTTATTGATCCCACACGCGACCCTTTGGACGATGAAATCACGGATTCCGAGCTCGATGTGGTGGACCCTGATGGTGTCTTCGAGGGACTGTCGCAGTCAGAGTTGGAAGATCTGGAGCATGATATTAACACCTTTTTGAAGTTGGAGTCAAACCCGCAGAATAGGGACTTTTGGCAGGTACGTGCTTCCCTTAGTATAGAATCCTACCGTGGCACTTTATTGACAAGGATTTCTTCTGCATAGACCATGAAGATCATCTGCCGTGATCGCCAGAAGACCTCTGCACCTCAAGGACGAGCCCTCAGCTCAGTGGCCGCCGATATCAACCGACTACTTAGCCCGAAGACATACGAACAACTTCAATCATTAGAGGTCCAAGTCAAGAGGAAATTGAACTCCAACGAACCCATCGATACGGACTACTGGGAAGAGCTGTTACGCAGCTTGACAGTGTGGAAGGCCCGGGCAAGACTGCGCAATGTATACCAAGATGTGATCGACGAACGCGTTCGTGATCTCAGGAAACAGCAGAAAGCAGAGGCGGAATCTATCCGGGAGAAGCTTGCTCCTCTTGCACCTATCGTGTCTGCAGGTGACCAGTCCCAAGTATCTATGGATTCTGCCAAATTTGAAGGCTTGGATCCCGATCCGTTGCTGCATGTGCGCCAGGAAGACAAAAGTCTGGAAATTATGGACGAGTCCGTTTTCCTTCGTCAAGTGGTGAGTCCCTCTTTTTGGTAACACTGGTAGGGAGTTTATTATTAACGCGGTACGTAGGCTCGAGAGCGTCAAAAAATCCTCCGGATGGGATATGTTCCTCTTCGACAACGAGGTGCCGAGAGGCCTAGTGCGGTTACCACTAGTACGGCGTCCTCTAACACGGCCGCATCAGGGATCCCTGGTCGCTTCTCTGCGATTCCCAATGACGATTTCTCACAAGCTACCAAGGCTTTGTACGAGCGAGAGCTGGCTAAGGGTATTAGTGAAAACGAAGAGATCTTTACGAGCGAAGAGGCCGTGACTACTGCTTCCCAATCGCAATGGGCTGGCAAGCACCGGCCCCGAAAGCCCCGATACTTTAATCGGGTTCAGATGGGCTACGAGTGGAACAAGTACAACCAGACCCATTATGACCATGACAACCCGCCGCCAAAGGTTGTGCAGGGCTACAAGTTCAACATCTTCTACCCCGACCTTATTGATAAAACCAAGGCCCCCACGTATCGCATCGAGCGAGAGGATGGCCGGAAGCGAGGACAGTCCAATGCGGAGGCTGGGGAAGAGGACACTTGCTTGATTCGATTTGTGGCTGGAGCTCCTTACGAAGATATCGCTTTCCGCATTGTCGATAAGGAATGGGACTATAGTGCGAAGCGTGAACGAGGGTTCAAGAGTACCTTTGACAAGGTAAGTTTTCTGCTGTCGACTGGAAACCCCGACGAGATCCTGACTAATCTGTGACAAACAGGGCATCCTTCAACTCCATTTCCAGTTCAAGAGGGTAAGTAGCTTCTTTGAGACATCTCGGAGGCTGGAAGAATTCTCCGACCGTACGAACATCACTGACATTGTCTTAGATCTATTACCGGAAATAGTACGGGACCAATCATGCCCATATGGACGTTTCTCTCGGGAGGGCAAGTGGACATTGGGTGTTGTGTGGTGTATGCAGGATGAAGATTCGGGGTGTATTTTACAGAGCGCTGACTGTCTGTGAATCCAATTCTCTCATGATTGATTGGGCTGGAAACTTTAACCCTTTTTTTCTTTTCTCAGAAGATCTACCCATTCAATAAGCTTACGATCTGTCCGCACTGTCCGCGTGTGGATTCCTTTATCAAGAATGCTTAATACAACCACTTATTGACCTTCCGAGGCCCCCGTTGTTCCTACAACCTTAGCGACTTGGGTATTTTCCCTCCCCGAAATAGGGGAGTATCCATGATTCCCCACAACCACTACTTCGCCCTCCCGCAAAGTACCCAGTGAGGGGGATCAGCACTGCCTTTGTTCTTGCGGAACGGCGGACGTTGAAAACTGTTCTGGTGACACCTTACTGGCCTGCAGCTTGCAGGTCAATATGTGACATCCGGATGGCTAGAAGCAGGCGAACCAGGAAGAAACACTCACAATGCTGGACGGAACAGCAATTCCAGCGAGGTGGTGCTTTTGTCCAGAGATCTGTGTCTCTTTTTTACCTATTTTTTACTTTCTCGGACAGCCTGTTTCCCTTTCCAGAATGGCCTCTAGTCCCGGTTTCAACTTCCAGAAGACCAGTGCTCGGGCCGCAATGAATGGCGACAAGTTCTGCAGCTGTCCGCCACCAGCAGACCATCCCCTCTTCTCTCTGCCCCCGTCGGCCCCTGAAGCCCATTTGAGGTCCCTCCAGCCTATCTGGCATTCATTCAACGCCTACCTGTACATCCGCTGTGGCACTGAATCGACCCGCCTTGACCCTCTATGAGATCATTGGCCAACCTCTGTACTATGAAAAGCCCCGTTCCACAGCCTAGGCATCTGGAGGGAGGCAATTTCTCGTAATGCAACAAAGTGCCAGAATGCAGTCGATCGACGCTGGTTGTCTGTAGCCCTTTCCACTATTGCTCTCTTCTCTCGTTCCCACTCTCTTGGGTTTTCTTCTAGTCTTTTAGTCCCGCCATCCTAGTTCTTAATTCCTATTACTTCTTAATCTGCTTCCCAAAAATCCGTAGAAAAACAAACGTCCGTGGCTTCAACGATCTCTTGTTTGCTCTACAAGAAGATCTGGCTATATGCAGGCAGAAGAGGCTTGAGCCATGCGTGCTGGCCGAAAAAAATACTCCATATTGTTGAGGCTTACAGCTCCAAATTTTTGCATGTCTTGGGGATAAGGGCATGACAGTCACTCTGGTTACTTCTATGCTGGCGCTTCCTCTACCATTCTCTACCTGAGATCGAACTCGTGAACACCCCCTCCAACCCCTAACTCTCCTGGTTCCTTTTTCTATCCAAGTGCATTTTTCAAGCTTCTCACTTCCCCTCAAGTGAGAGCACACCCTCAGCATCTTATCTTGCTCCCGTTACAGGGCCACCTTCCGGCCCCCCTCGACGCCATGGATCACTCATTCCCATATCACCAGCCTCTGGCTCAGATGCCAACTGACCAGCGAGAGCACGAGCACGATCGTGTCTTGGTACAAACGGGACTTTCGGGTGCCGATGCTCTTTTCCAGGCGACGAATACGAATGACAGTGACCCCCAGACTTACCACCCCGGCCCTTCAGTCGAATATCGGTCGACATTCAGATCCAACCTGATGCCGCAATCGCTAATGTCCCTTCATCATACTGGGTTTAGCCACCCGTGGGGCACCACGCTGGAGCCATACGATTTCGGTATTTCTTCTCCCATTCGGGCCCAGATGCCTGACGACGGTTATCTCGCATCACTTTACTGTGCCCCTCATGTCGCCAACTTGCCTTCTATGTTCGACTCATCCACCACTAACATGCACCATTCAAACTCTCACGCGCCTCGACGCAGTGACCGCAATGATTTAACCAAGCAGCAAACCACACCAGTCACTGCTTTCTCAAGTCAGGAACACTTGATCCATTCTCCCCAGCACCCCAGCACTCCTCAAAGTTCTGAACGTGCGATGCGTGCGACATCTCCATCAAGACCCATTTCTATCTCGTCGGATCACTCCCTGGCCCAGTCTAGTGAGTCACGTCGCATTCATGACAGTATGAGTCCAGCATTGGCTGTAGCTGGAGTGGATAGTCCCTCACCACGCATCAGTCTCGCAGACTCTAGTGATCAAGAGCAGTCTGGAGAACCCCCATACTCCCGCCTTATTTGGGGGGCCCTCATGTCCGCTGATGACAAGATGCTCCCCCTTCAAGGCATTTATCAATGGTTTGAGAAGAACACGACCAAGGGAAAGAATGATGAATCAAAGGGCTGGCAAAACAGCATTCGTCATAATCTTTCAATGAATGCAGTACGTGTGCTCCTCACTCTACCGACGGTCTCTGGCCTCTGGTTGGGAGTATCTTTGTTAATCTAATCGTTTTCTATTACTCAGGGATTTGAACCTATCAAGATCGAGACCCCTGGCAAAAAGACCGTAAACTACTGGCGCTTGACCGCAGAAGCTATTCGAAATGGCGGGGTTCAATCCACAACCCGCTATCGCAAGTTAACCGCTAAGAAGGCCATGAGCTCAGATTCCCCCGACCCTCGCCGTCAGCGACCAGGGTCCAAAGGGGGGAAAATGAGTGCCGGGGTCAAGCGTCATGCTACTGAAGACGAGGAGGAGGATGGGGACCCATCATACCCCTTCCATTATCGAAATGTTCGACAAAACCGGTCCCCTTCAGTCTATTCCCAGTCTTATTCTCATTCTCAGCCTCAGCCTCAACCGCACATTCAACTACAGCCTCCAGCGTCAGCTGATGCCGATATTCACCATTCCCAACACTACAACCACACATACCTGACTACACCCTCCGTTGGAGTGCCGCAATATGCGACACTACACTCGCTTTATGCTCTGCCTCAGACAGCCCGTGAAAGCTGGCAACAGTTCGACCTTCGCAACGTGATCGGCACTGCTGATCAGCCGCCAACGCATAACATGCTGTTCTGCGATACAGCGGAAGGAGCCCCCGACTGTGCAGCATTCGTGGAGCCCTGGCTTGGTTTGCCTCAGGCCTATGGTCCAATCATCATGGACTGAAGATAGTCGTCTCCTAAAAGTGCATCAAATCATTTTCAATTCTATGTGCAAGTATCCTGCTGGGACTTGTTCCACCCAAAGGGGTGGAGTTGGTGGGGGATGATGGGCCATACTTCGAGTTAGTGGCGGAGTAGCGGGTGCGTCGGCCTCCCGCTGACTGCATAATTGTTTTTTTTTTCAGCTTTCCAATGATTTGCCTTCTCTTTCATCCTTGTAAACTACTTTCGCATTTTTGTCTTCTCTGGGTCTTTTTGTGGAGCCCAATCTGGTCATTTAGCGCTGAATCCAGGTCGAGCAGGTCGTTGCAGCACTCGTGCATTGCTAGTCGTCATTTGTGGGATATCTCAGATGTTCCGGGTGTTCAGAAGGAGTGCCATTATGTTGCGGGCTTTTGTTCTATTTCACTGGGATTTATTTGCCGCTTTCTGATTTATTTTCTTGCTGGTTCAGATTGGAGAGGTTGAAGTGTACCATACGCTACAAGCTCGCTGGGTCTCGCTGCACTCTTAGTGGCATATGCAGAGTGGAAACCTTAGGCTTGAACCGAGACCTGTCTATTCGTTCCCTCGGCCGAGAACATACATATATCGAAAAATGTGACATGAAAACGAGCTATAGTTCCTATAGTTTCAACGGGGCGGGCCGCAGCAATGTTGGTTCCACAGTTCCACGGGGTCATTAAGCATAACGAAAATGTCAGCTGTACTTGGTGGGGTCGAAATACTCTGTTTCTAATTCTCATTTGACACCAAGAGGTTTCTATGTTGTCAATCTGAAATCGTCTCTATAAGCAGGAAAGTTCATTGATGAATGTCCGATCCCCCGACAGTCCTTATTTCCCCAACTGGCTCATAATTTCCATCTACTTTACCCCAAGCGTCTCGGGACCCAACTCCATTGTCCGTGGATTCAACCTATTGCCTACTTACAGACGAAGCGACCTACCAAATAAAGGAAAGGAAAGTCGTCAAACCACCGTTTCCCAATTTACAAGTGCTCAACATCCTTTTTCCCCAATCCAATCAATCGACTTTTTCCCTCTAGAGGTACGTGCAAGTACGTTAGCTATCAGCGTTTAGGGCCTCCCATCCCCACTTTCATCGAGTTTTCCCTCCAATGAGTAGCACGACAGATACACCCGCCCTCCTCCTTCTCGTTCTTAGGCTTGGTCTCAATGACAAGCCTGCAGCTTTCCTTCATCGGGTGACTCGGACGGTGTCTTAGCACTGCCGGGGTTACCAGACAACATGATAAGTGAGGTACTGCTCAATTGCGAGTGTCTAAACGAAGTCTTTGCTCTACCTACGTACAAGTGGAATCCCAGACTATTGCTCTTTCTTTTCTGAACGATTTCCACACCCGATACCTTGGCTCACCAGCGATGAGATCTTTACCGATCTTGTGGGATTAGATCTAGACTTGGGTAGTTATGTGCTAAACTAAGAACTCTCGATAAGCCATGCATTTCCATACATGATAATGCTTGACGCTGAGCGCAGGATAATAGTTGAGCGGAATAAACACGACAGAAACGAATTACGATTGCAGTCAAAGTCCTTTGGATCTGTCATGGCGGTCTATGCCCCCCCCCCTCCATAATGACGCAAGTTCGAGCTCATCGTCCTACCGTTTAGTGTCACAAATGGCTCGTGTGATCAGATCAGCGGTGGCATTTGCGGCTAGAGGGGATAGCAGTTATTCTCTTTCATGCTGAAATACGAGATGTTCAGCTGTCCTCGACCTAAGACAAATCAAGACTTACTGGCAGGTGCTCGGGGAAGCTAAGATGCAGGAAATGAAGGAAAATGGGGGCCTGGTAGCCTTGTATCATTGATTGTGGGCTAATTACCTGTTTACAGAGATTATTGCCGATCATTTCTCCCGCTCATTATTGAGGCTTTGCACGCAATATCCATCGTGCACATGCTCCGTTTGACTGATCGCCAAAGGGCATGCGGCGACTCCACAGATGTACGTCCGTAGCGCGTCGGCAAGTGGGGGTAAAGTCTGGCGTCTAGAGGCCGGGAGATTCCTCTGGGATATTTGATCTGGTTTCCTGCGAAATCTATCGTCAGTAAGATTCTAAGTGGTGTCACAGCTTATCCATAGGTGTGGGATCGTCCTCGCATCATATGCCTTCTACGAGATAGTTGCCTTCTACGAAGTAGTCATTTCATGATCATCTTCAGCTGCCATGTCTCTTCCTTTCTTTTTACTTTTCTCTTTGATGCAAGGCTGGAAGCCGGAATCAATAGCCCAGCAGTCGGTGCCATCGGATCGCCGCCACAACCGAAATGATCACTGTGGAGTTGGTGCAAGAGTAGCCGACTCCGGGATATGGTACATTCTGTCCCTAAATTGAGCACGATATGATAGATCCAATGCCACGCCGTTCGATAGAGGTAAGTCATATGGAAAATGGAATCTATAGGCCCTTCTCAAGAACTTCGGGTCTCTGATCCTAAGAGGATCGATGAAAAAGGGTCCTTTGAATATCTCCCAGGCTGTCAAGTGGCTGGCGGTGATATCTTATTTTCGGGCTGACGGACTGTGCGACCAGATGCTATGCAAGAATTCGCAGATGCAGGGGTACAAACTCACATCGGGCTTCTTCTCTGCGAAGAATGCGCTTCATAGAATTGAGACGAGGCTTCCCCTTTTTTCTCTCTAGATCAAGTGGGACGTATTTGCTTCGTTTCGTTTCTCGATCATCCCATAGCGTAGCACGAGCCCCCGTCCGTTGGGTGCGTGCGAGATGGAACGGACCCGATATTCCAGTCGCCAGAAGTACAATAACGTTGCTGGCGCTGTCGTTTTGCTCCAGCGTTGACAACCCACAGACGCTAAAATTCAATTGTGGAGCCACAAAGGCTAGCCAGGAACGATGTGCCGCAGCTCCGAGACCCAGCCAAAGTACAGTAGAGGATACCCGACTGACCGCTCCTCGGTATGGTTCGTCTGAATATCGTGCCTGGAGTGCGCCCATGTTGACGTCGAGATGACAGTTTGGAATGGAGCATGCAGGCGGAATGGGAAAGCCAAGAATCGGGTCAACGGGAAGGGCTTTGCCGATCCAGGCCAGGATTTACACCTCACCGATCAATTGGCCGGTCATCAAGGGTCCAGGGGACTGGGAGTGAATACGAATCAATACGGAGGTTCATCGGCTGCCACGTAGGGGACATGTGTACTTGCATTAGCCGGGATGGAGGTGAAGGGATCGATGTCCCATTGGTACCCGGTGCAAGGGATTTTTTCCTTGACAAGCACGGAGATTCAACATTGTGGGCGACACGGGGATACGGTCGTCTTCTATTGTTTATGTCTTACGCAGATAATGCCCGTTCTCTGTCTTTGATTGCTATAGCATGTACGACATTTGTGTGATGCTTTCTCTAATCTATAGACGGGCAGCTTTTGAGTTCGAAGATCCCGTGCTCGATACTTCCGGCCGGCTAACCTTAAAAAGGAAATTAAACTCTGATGGTTACACAATCGCATCCTTAGAGCCAGCGTCCGTGCAATAGGGTACACTTTGTTTGCCTCTTGTTGAATCTTTCCATATAGGTAGTCTGTTTCTTTTTCCCTTGATATACTGCACGCGCTCTCAAACTCTAATAGGTTGTTATCTGCAGCCTTCTTAGGACCAGAATACGGACCAGTTTGACCTCGAGTTGTTACTCCTACCCAAAACTGGCACTCGGGGGATTCGGATCAAGAAGCTAATGGGAGCAGCTGCTATCAAACGTGTGACTCGCACTACATGGCAAAGGGTAATCGGCATAGAAAAAAAAGAAAACAGAAACTCAGTCTGTGATTGAACCGCCGCCTTTTGATCCACTTTCTCCCCGGTGTAAGTGGTCGATGTATATATATCTCCACAGTAGGCAAGTAAGTAATAGCCTACGGAAGGACTTTCTAGATCGAGTACCACAAGATAGATGAATCAGAAGCAGCGATAAACTGTTGAGTGAGACTAATTTTGGCAAATAATACCTTTACTTAGATTCGGTCCTTTGAGCCATGACGGGCGCGCCACTGTGCCACACGGTTAGGTAGATACTGGGTGGATGGCAGGAATTTCAGGCCCCCAGCGCTTGGTCCCCGCGGAAGAAACCTCCCCTGCCTCCAGCCGTGACGGAATATTAGATTATAGAGTACTGGATTGACCATGAGTATCGGGACCACATTCCCCTGCCACAGGCCATTCAAGTGGATAATTGAGACTGACAATATGACAGCTGCAGAACCACGTCAGGCACACCATGAGCACCACCATCTTAGCACGTATCTACATCCAACGCTACTATAGTGGATCGCCCCGGATGAACCTTGGAGAATCGACCATCTACGGCAAAAGATAAGACTAGGCCTGATGAAGCGGTCACCAGGGGCATAGGATCGATTCTCGAAGAGATTCCCACAGACCCGCCAGCTAGAAATAGCTCGCAGCACTCTCTCGGCCGGATTCAAACCCACGGTCGACGTTGGAATCAATCGTCGGCTCGACAGATTGGTAGAATCCATAACTCTGACACCCCGAACCCGGTCCTGGTCTATAAGTTTGAGTTGATATACCCTCCCTGTGTTCCCTCAGCCTTTTCCAGCCCGGTGATGTTATTCATACCTTTGCGATATCATGCAGCTAGGATTCCAGCCTGCGATGAATTTGACCTTGCTGCTGTGCTGGCTGGTCGTCAGACCAACAGCGTAAACAAGGGTATTAATTGACATTACGTGTTGCGGTGTGATGGCGACGGTCACGGGGCACCATCGTGATCTGTGAGCTGAGGAATCGTCTTTTGATTGACTTGTCGATGGTGTAGACCGCTAGAATCATGCCTAGGATGCTAGACTGGCATGCGAGGGGGTATAGGCAAATCTCGAAGAGGTGCAGTGAGGGCATGCGTATCAGGCCCGGAGGTTAAGTATTCGGACCCAGTGCACAACTATAGGCAGAGTTATTGAGAAGAGGGCGCAAAGGCCCTGGAGATTGCAAG